TGCTCAGGACGGGCTTGAGACCAGCCCAGCCCTCCCTCGGGATCCTCCGCGGCTGAGGGCGGCAGAGCCAGGGCCTGGCCCCCGGCCCAGGCACACCCGCCTGCCCTGTGGAAGCCCCGAGCTGGGCTTGTCCTGGGTAGACGCCCCACTGTGGCCCGGCCAGGGCCCTGTCCTGGCAGAGCCTGGATCTAGGTCACTGCCCCCAATTTAAAATTGGAACAGAAGTTCCCAAATGAAGGCAGAGGAGCGCCTGCCCTGTGGTCCTGGGATGGAGCAGGTGCGCGCCCCGCCCCCGCCCCCCCCCCCCCCCCCAGCCTTCACAGCACGTGTCTTGTCTTGAGCATGCCCTGCCCCTTCCCTCTGACTCCGGAGGCTGGCGTGGTTGCGGTGCTCTCTGTCATGCTGCAGCCAGAAAGTCCATGTCTGAGCATCGTGGGTTGCCTGGCCTGGGGCAGAGATGGAAGGGCATTGGCTGGGTACACCAGCACAGAAGCAGAGTGGGGAGCAGCATGGGAGTGGCGTGGGCCTGTCTCCCAGGCCGGGGACTGCCCTGCTCTGCCGAGGCAGATAGGCCGGAGGGGTAAATCAGATGTGGAATGGAACTGGAAACCTGTCACCCCTGCCCTCCCAGGAGAGGCACAGTCATTCCCCGACAGGCCTTGGCTCCTTGTTGCCACAGAGCCAGCATCTCAGGCCAGGAGGAGCCAGCCTGAGGCCCTCATCTCTACTCTGGGCTGCTAGAAGGGCAGGTGGGGCTGTGGGAACCACACTGCAGGACACACCCACACCCCTAGCAGGACAGCGAGGTAGCCCCCAGAGTGCTTGCTTCCTGCTTTCCCCTTGAGTCTGGGCTCAGAGCCCCCACCGGGAGCAGTTCTGCCCTGCAGGGGCTTGCTTGCTTCCGTCAGCCTCGTTTGTTCAGGGGAGCAGGAGAAGAGAGCATGGGCATGCTGCAGGAGCGCAAGCCCACAGTCCCCGCTACTCAGGAGGCTGAGATCTGAGCACTGCAGTTTGAAGTTGGTTGGCCCAGACAGAAAATTCCTTCAGTCGCTATAGCTAATTAACCAGCAAGAAGCAGGGAGGGAAGTGTGGCTGAAGGGATATGAGTGGAAAGGCTGAATGAGAGCACAAGGCCCTGAATTCAAGCAGCAGTGCACGCACGCACACAGGAAAAGAGATGCCCTGGCCCATTTCCCAAGGGAAGCTCAGCAGTGCAGGGTTGTTGTGCACTGGTGTCGGCTGGCGAGAGCTGGGGCGTGCCTGACTGGGGCCTGGCTGGACACCTCCCAGGGACAGCAGCTGTGTGCATGGGAGCCCACTGCTGCGCTTGCTTAAATACCACCCGGCACAGAGGCCCACGAGATACCACGTCCACACCGAGATGGAAGACCGTCCCAAGAGCTGGGCTGCCCTAGGCAGTGGTGGTACATACTTGTAATTGTAGCACTCAGGAGACTGAGGTAGAAGGATTGAGAGTTTGAGGAGCAAGACTGTATCAGAGGCGGGGGGGGGGGGGGGGGGGGGCGGGAAGGAGGAGGAACTAACCAGTAAAAGGATACCCAGTATCTCAATAATGTCCTTTGTAATGCGCTCATACTGAAAGAGCACATTGCAGACATATTGGGTTACACAAAGTACATCAAAATTCTCTTGTAGCTAGGCCTAGTGGCTCATTCCTGTCATGCTAGCCACTCAGGAGGCTGAGATCTGAGGATCTTGGTTCAAAGCCAGCCCAGGCAGGAAAGTCCGTCAGACTCTTATCTCCAGTGAATCACCAGAAAATCGGAAGTGGTGCTGTGGCTTAAAGTGGTACAGCGCTTGCCTTGAGCAAAGAGCTCAGGGACAGTGCCCAGCTCCCGAGTTCAAGCCCAGGGGAAGTGACAACTGTGTAGTTCAGGCTAGCCTCAACTCGTTAGTCCTCAGTGCCCAGGGCCTTAGCCCCCTGAGCGCAGCGAATTGCAAGAGTGTACCACTGTGCCTGGACCTGTGCTGTGCTGCCTGGCCGAGCTTCCAGCCCTGCCAGCCCTTCTGTAAAGGGCCTGGCTCTGGGTCACGTGATCTCTGAAAGTAGCCACATATGTAAGCAAGCAAGCATGGCCACATTGTACAAAAGTGTTTAGACCCTGCAGTTTGAATTTAATAACTTTTACCTTTTGATTTTTTTTTTCTAGCCATTAAAAAAAATGTAAAAGTCGGGCTGGGAAGGTGGCTCAGTGGTAGAGCACTTGCCTTGCATGCATGAAACCCTGGGTTTGGTTCCTCAGTGCCACATAAGCAAAAGGAAAAAAGCCGGAAGTGGCGCTGTGGCTCAAGTGGTAGAGCGCTAGCCTTGAGCTGAAGAGCTGAGGGACATCGCCCAGGCCCAGAGTTCAGGCCCCATGACTAGACCCAAAAAAAAAAAGACTACCACACACACACACCTACCTCAAAGACAGTACCACACACACACACACCTACCTCCAAGACAGTACCACACACACACACACCTACCTCCAAGACAGTACCACACACACACACCTACCTCCAAGACAGTACCACACACACACACCTACCTCCAAGACAGTACCACACACACACACCTACCTCCAAGACAGTACCACACACACACACCTACCTCCAAGACAGTACCACACACACACACCTACCTCCAAGACAGTACCACACACACACACACCTACCTCCAAGACAGTACCACACACACATACCTGCCTCCAAGACAGTACCACACACACACACCTACCTCCAAGACAGTACCACACACACACATACCTACCTCAAAGACAGTACCACACACACACACCTACCTCAAAGACAGTACCACACACACACACACACCTACCTCCGAGACAGTACCACACACACACACCTACCTCCAAGACAGTACCACACACACACACCTACCTCAAAGACAGTACCACACACACACACCTACCTCAAAGACAGTACCACACACACACACCTACCTCAAAGACAGTACCACACACACACCTACCTCAAAGACAGTACCACACACACACACCTACCTCAAAGACAGTACCACACACACACACCTACCTCCAAGACAGTACCACACACACACACCTACCTCCAAGACAGTACCACACACACACACCTACCTCAAAGACAGTACCACACACACACACCTACCTCCAAGACAGTACCACACACACACACCTACCTCCAAGACAGTACCACACACACACACCTACCTCCAAGACAGTACCACACACACACACCTACCTCAAAGACAGTACCACACACACACACCTACCTCAAAGACAGTACCACACACACACACCTACCTCAAAGACAGTACCACACACACACACCTACCTCCAAGACAGTACCACACACACACACCTACCTCAAAGACAGTACCACACACACACACCTACCTCAAAGACAGTACCACACACACACACCTACCTCCAAGACAGTACCACACACACACACCTACCTCCAAGACAGCGGCGTTGCTGCCGACTTGCCTTGTCTGTGCCCCCGGAGTCATGGCCATGTCCTCACAGCAGACCCCACAGCATGCGGGTCTTGCTCTGTCGGTGGGGGAGCTGAGCAGCCAGGGTCTTAAAGAGTTGCTAGGCCAGCCGCGGCCAGTTCCTTGGGAGAAGTTGCCCCTCGGACTCTGAGTGAGGAAACCATCAGGTGAATTCGCTGTTGCCCAGGGCACCCAGCTGGTTCTAACTGGAGCCAGGTGGCGAGACCCCACAGCCCGCACTGGGAACATTGAGCAGGCCTGGGATTCGTGCCACTGATCCCCTCAGGCACCCGGAGCTGGCGTTCCCAGGCCTGCTGTGCACCAAGGACACCTCCCAGCCCCTTTTCTACCTTTCCTAGCTCCATCTTGATACCAGCGTGACTGTCCCCGGTGTTTATTCATGAGTCAGAGAAGGGGCTGATGCTGAGTGACAGCAGCGTGAGGACCGCTCTGATCAGAGCCTGATAGAGTGCTGACCCACCCATGGGAGAGCAGCCCAGACGCCCACCTTGGCCCACTGCCCTGGAAGGAAACCGTAGTGACCTAGGATCCCCATCCATGGGCCAGCTTCCCAAGTCCCAGTGAAGGGACTCAGTGCTTTGCTTGGTTTCGTTCCTCACAGTCAGCTTTTGTGAAATGGCCATTTCTGCGACACACACAGTCCACCTGCTGAGACTCCAGCTGAGATCCAGGCCCTGGAGGGAGACCAAGAGGCCTGGCCCATGCTCAGGGCCATGGGCAGCCTCAGGTCCCTTGTATTTCCTGGGGTCTGGGTCAGGCCATGGACTGTAGTTGGCATAGTCAGCTGCCATCTGGAAGGCTCAGCTTAGCCCCAGACACCCTGGGTTTCTCTCTCTCTCTTTCTTTCTCTTTCTTTCCCTCCTTCCCTTCCTCCCTTTCTCCCTCCCTCCCTCCCTTCCTTCCTTCCTTCCTCTTTTGGTCAGTTGTGGGGGCTGAACTCTGGGCCTGGGCGCTGTCCCTCAGCTCTTCAGCTCATTGCTAGCACTCTACCACTTGAGCCACAGTGCCACTTCAGGTTTATTTCTGTGTATGTGGTGCTGGGGAATCGAGCCAGGGCCTCATGCATGCAAGCACTCTACCACTGAGCCACCTTCCCAGCCCCGAGCCCCTGGGTTTCCCTCTCCCTTCAGCGGCTCCAGGCATCTCTGAGGCTGACCAGACTGCCGCTTCTCCCTCACTTTTCCTTTCTTTGGCTAAATGCTTGCTTGTCCCTTCCCTCTGTACTAAGGCCACGCTGGTGGGTAAGGTTGGTGGGTCTTGGGACAGGTGGGGCAGTGTCCCGGGCCCCCGGGTGTGCTGTGGGTCAAGCATCTGTCGCTGTGGAGGATGCTGACTTTCAGCCTCCAACCCCTGCCCCCTGGTGACCTGAGCCTCGTGGTCAGCCCTGAGCCCCTGCCCCTGCCCTGCTCCCTTTGCCCACCCCTGGTGGCTTGGCAGGCTGGGACACCCTCCCAGGGCCTCTGGGCTCGGTCTGTGAATCACACTGTCTTCTCTCTATTCTCTCTCTGTTTATCTCTGTTGTTGTGTCACCGACCAGCCAGCAGCCTGTCTCCGGCGTGGGCACTCTTCCCTCTCCATGCTCCCGTTGGCGCGCAGTTGGCCAGAGGTGACCAGGCCTGGCTCTCGGCGTGGCCACTCTCAGCGGGGCCATGGGGAGCTCTGCCTCCTCCCTGGCCGCCGAAACCGAGTCGGACCACGGCTTCCCCAGGGGGCCCCCCTACTCGGGGCCCCCTGCAGCAGCTGGCTGGTGTAGGAGCGGCCCCGGGGGAACTGTCTGGGGGAGTGCCCTGGTCGCCAGACAGCACACACGTCCCCCCCGGGCCCGAAGGTAAGAAGGCGGGAAGGGCTGTCTCTGGACAGAGGGCTCCTTTTCAGCAGGTCCCTCCTCGGCAAGGTGCTTGCTCAGAATCCAGGCACTGGAATCTCACGCCTGTCATCCTAGCTCCTCAGGAGGCTGAGGACTGAGGATCACAGTTTGAAGCCAACTTGGACAGAAAAGTCCATGAGACTCTTACTTCCAGTTAACCACCAAAAAGCTGGAAATGGAGGTGTAGCTCAACTGGTATAGTGCCAGCCTTGAGTGGGAAAGCCAAGCAAGAGAGTGAGGCCCTGAGTTTGAGCCCTAGTACTGGTGCGTGTGCGTGCACATACGTGCCCGACATACACGCACAGTGTTTGCTTCGAATTAGGATTCCTGTTTCTCAAGCCAGCCACTCTGGTAGTTCGCTCCTCACCTGAGGTACGGTAGAGCTGAGAAACGGATTATCTCTACTATTGGCTCAGCAAATCTGGAACCCTGTCCTCGTCCTGGGATGCTTTGCGTAGCCCGCCGCTGGGCAGTGCTTCCCACGGCCAGTGGTGCTCTGAAAACTGTCCGGAGACCCTTTTAGGTCACCGGCTGCCAGTGGTGGCCCCTGTGGTCAGTGAACCCCGGAATGCCGGTGTGCTGTCCCAGGTCCTCCGGGCTGCTGCTCCTGGGCTGCGTCTGCCCTGCTCCCACATGGCTGCCTGCAGGGCGGCATGAGTCTGCATTTGCTTTGGGGACCTCCACCAGCCGGGCTCCCTCCTGTGGAGAGGAGGCCTGAGCCCCAGGCAGAGTCTGCAGAGGTAGCTCTGCTTTCTGGGTGCCAGGCCTGCCCCTGCTGTAGATGGCCCACCCGGCCCCTTGCCGTCTGCTGCGTGTGGGAAGGGCAGACATAGAGGTGCCAGGTGGGAGATGGGCCTCCTGGAGTACTTGGGCACCGCGGTCTGAGCCCCTGGCTCGAAAGGCCCTGGAGGAGGCCACAGTCCTTAGGAAAGTCCAGAAACTGAATTACTTACGTAGATGGGAGCCATTGGGTGTTCAGAGTTCACAGCTGTGCCAGGGGCTCTGTTCCATGTGAATGCGCATGTGTGTGAGTGCATGTGTGTGTGTGCATGTGTGTGAGTGTGCACACGCCATGCTAGGGCTCTGTTCTGTGTGTGAGTGTGCACACGCGATGCCAGGGCTCTGTTCCATGTGTGAGTGCGCGTGTGTGAGTGCATGTGTGTGCGTGCGTGTGTGTGCACACGCGATGCCAGGGCTCTGTTCCATGTGTGAGTGCGCGTGTGTGAGTGCATGTGTGTGTGCGTGTGCATGCACACGCGATGCCAGGGCTCTGTTCCATGTGTGAGTGCGCGTGTGTGTGAGTGCGTGCGTGTGTGTGCACACGCGATGCCAGGGCTCTGTTCCATGTGTGAGTGCGCGTGTGTGTGAGTGCATGTGTGTGTGCGTGTGTGTGTGCACACGCGATGCCAGGGCTCTGTTCCATGTGTGAGTGCGCGTGTGTGTGAGTGCGTGCGTGTGTGTGTGCAATGTGATGCCAGGGCTCTGTTCCATGTGTGAGTGCGCGTGTGTGTGAGTGCGTGTGTGTGTGCGTGTGCATGCACACGCGATGCCAGGGCTCTGTTCCATGTGTGAGTGCGTGTGTGCGCGCACGCGCGTGTGCATGCATGTGTGAGAGAGACAGAAGAGGGAATACTAAAAATTAATCTTCAGTTTCTCTCATTGGTACCACAGTGCTCCAAGGAATGCCTTGGTGTGTATGTGTGGTACTAGGGTTTGAACTTTCCCTTCCACATAACAGGCAAGCACTCTGCCACGGATTCACACTTCTGCCCTTTTGCTTTCTTGGGAGATAAGGTCTTGAGTCCACCCTGGACTTTAGCTTCTTATATAGCTATAGTGAAAGGCACAAGCTCCACACCCAGTTTTTATTGACTGAGATCAAATCTCCCAAACTTCTCACACAGGCTGGCCTTGAACCATGATTTTAACAGTTTAGCCTCTTGAGTTGCTAAGCTTATAGGCATGAGTCACCTTGCCCAGCACCATGTCTTTTATTACTTGTTTTGCCAGTCCTGGGTCTTGAACTCAGGCCCTGGGCACTGTCTCTGAGCTGCTTTTGCTCAAGGCTAGCACTGTGCCACTTGAGCCACAATGCCACTTTACCAGCTTTTTCTGTTTGTGTAGTACTGAGGAATCGAACCCAGGGCTTCATGCATGCTAGGCAAGCACTCTACCACTGAGCCACCTTCCCAATCCCCTCCATGTCTTAAACAGCTTTTTTGAGATATGGCTTTGTATAACATCAGATTCACGGGGGCTAGGAAGGTGGCTCAGTGGTAGAGCACTTGCCTTGCATGCCTGAGGCCCTGGGTTCGATAAGCAGAAAGAAAAAAGCCGGAAGTGGCGCTGTGGCTCAAGTGGTAGAGCGCTAGCCTTGAGCTGAAGAGCTGAGGGACAGAGTTCAGGCCCCAAGACCGGACTCCAAAAAAAAAAAAAAACCAACAGATTCACCTCTTATAAGTTCAGTCACTTTCAGTTATTTCCTAACTGTACAAACATCACAAGCCAGTGGGTAACACCTCTGCACCCCACAGAGATTACACCAGTTTGCTGGCCTGCTTCTCATCTCCAGGTCTGCCTTCCCTAAAACTTCTCACAACGGGAGTTGCAGTGTCTAGCCTAGGTGTGGCTTCCACACGAGCCTGTTCGCTGCACACCACCCCTCTGCCTCCGGTGGACGAATTAACGCAGTGTGTTGCATGTATGTGTGTGGATTTCACTCCTTGTCTGTGGATGAAGCTAGACCACCTTTGACTGTCTGCTCACAGACGCTTGTAAATAGCTCTTTGACCCTTCCTGTTAAATGTTCGCGTGGACATAGGTTTTCGTGGTCTTAGATGGGTCCCTGAACTGGGGTTGCTGGATTTGTGGTGAGTTACGTAACATTCAGAGAAGCTGCATGCCGCTTTCCCGGCAGCTGTGTCGCTTTTGTTTCCACCGGCAACGTCCGAGTGTTTCTGTTCCCTGTCTGGACGCTGCTTCTAATGGCCTGGCTTAGTCTGTTCCCCGGTACTGGAGGTGTGTGGTGTCATCCTTGGTCTGGCTGGGCGTGCTGAGCAGCTTGCCTGTTTTTGTCCACCTTTATATGTTTTCTTATTTCCATTCATGTCTGTCCTCAGGAAAAGCTGTTAGAAGTAGACTTGCTGGCCCCGGCGTGGCTGGCTGTCAGCAGCCAGCGCTAAGGTCGCCTTGCAAGGAGGCGCACCAGCCAGCACGCCGCTCGCTTGTCACATGGGTGAATGGTTTTCCCTTTCTCTTTTACTATGTTCACGTGTACAAATGGAACTTGGAGACTTTTAACTCCTGAGCTAGGGTCCTCAGACATGTCCTTCTGGAGTGAGGGAGGGGAAGGCTCGGCGCGGCCCTCCTCCCCCCCCTGCCGCCCGCTGGGCCCACCTGTGCTGACGGGCGGGTAGGCTTGGACCTGGGACATGGACACGGGCACTGTGGGAACCAGGCAGTGACGGGCTGGTGGGAGCCCTGCCGGCCTCTCCCACACACCTGTGAGGGCTGCAGGGCCCAGGCCCCTCCTCCTCCCACCCCACGGCAGGGGTCCCAAGCCCCCTGAGCCAGCCCTCCTGTCGGGAGCCTGCTGTGTCTGATGCCCCGCTTCTGGGTGTCTCATCGGCAAGCAGGGAGGAGGGCACACCCCACCCAGGAGAGTGGCTTGGTGCCTTCCTTACCCCAAGGTGACCTTGAAGGAAGACATGCCCTCCACCGGGAAAAGACTTCAGGTGCAGTCTGCCTTGGGGAGCAGCTGCTGACCTGAACGCAGCACCCTCCAGAACGGTGAGTCAGACAAAGGCTGGGCAGTGGACAGGCGCTGCACCTGTCTCCTGGCATGGCCTGCCAGTCTGGCCACAGGGGAGATGAAAGGGCTTCAGCCAGGGTCCTGCGCGGGTGCTGTGGGGGATACCACACCCCTCACTGGCTCCTCCCAGAGGGGGAGGTGTCCCCAGGGCTGCCGTGCGCACAGGTCTCCGGCCCTCCCCGGGTACTCAGGTGGCTTTGATGTGTAGGCCAGGAGCTCACGGCCTCCCTGAGAATTGGAGGTGACGTGGGCCCACCAGAGCAGGGCCCTGCGCCCTGCGGACCTCCTGCAGTGCCTTCGTTGACTCACAAGTGTGGATTCCTTCTGTGTCCTGCCCTGCAGGTGCCTCAGGTCTGACTCCACGAGCGTCATGATTTAGGGGCACTTTGTGTTAAGAATCGTAAAGAATCTTTAAACTTTGTTTCTTCAGTTCCGGTGCTAGGGATCAAAACCAGTGCCTCACACGTGCTAGGTGGGCACTCTGCCTGGGAATGACACCCTAGCTCTGGTTGGAGAATTCAAAAAGGCCTTTGCCACCTATCTAAAGGTTGGTCTGATCCTTCAGCTCCAGATGCAGGCTTTGCTTTGCAGGCCTTGCCTTCTGCTGCATTAGGAGTTTCAGGTCTGGGTCCTGTCCCATCTGCCCACCCCAGAGGCCCACAGCTCAAAGCCAGCCAGGCAGCTGCTGTAGGAATCCCTAGTATGACGGCCTCCTCTGGCAGCAGAAAAGGCCATCAAGTGCCGTGCAGTTTCTTGTTTATCAGGTACTGTCTTGGTTGAAATCTACCCATGCCACATGCGGAATCATTCGATCATTTGTGCCCTGCCTCCCCTCCTCCCAGGTGTGGGCTGGCACCATGCCCCAGTTCAGCTAGGCCCAGGGGAAGCCGTGGCCACACAGACTGGCTCCTGGGGTCAGTAGGGACCTGCACACTCTCCTTTCCAGTGCTGTGTGTTTGGTTGGTTGTTGTGTGTTTTTGTCAGTCATGGGGCCTGGGCACTGTCCCTGAGCTCTTTTTGCTGAAGGCTAGTGCTCTACCACTTTGAACCACAGCGCCACCTCTGGCTTTCCCATGGGTTAATTGGAGGTAAGAGTCTCTTAGACTTTTCCTGCCCAGGCTCCTGAGTGGCTTGGGGCAGGCATGAGCTGCCAGCGTCTTTGAGGCTCTTCCTAGGTCTGTGCCAACAAGTAGGGTACATCCCGGGAGGAGCTCCTAGAAACTACGTGGGGCCCAAGTCTTCTCTCTGGAGACGTCTCCTGGGGAGTGGGCTGTCCTGGGGTGTCCAGCATGGCTGTGCTGAGAGGAGGCCCACTGTAGGTGCTCGTGTGTGTTGGTGGAGGTTTTTGTATAACATGGACTCCAAGGGAGCTTTGACCAAGAATGGGTCTCCGTACGGGGGAGGTGAGAGGCTTGGGGCTTTTCTGGGTACAAAGGCCCAAGTCAGACCTGACCCACCTCTGGTTCAGGTGCTGAGCCCAGCCTAGTGCAGCCACCAGACTGCGGCTCCAAGGCTCTTAGAAAGCCCCCTCGTCCCTTTGGGTCTTCCGTGGTAAGGAAGACTGCCTGCCTTCCTGCCCGCACTCAGCCCGAACCATGGGAGGAGCAGCCCAGGCAGCTTCGGGAACAATTGTGGTGCTTGGTCGAACTTGTTTCACTGATTCTTCTGAAGAGGCCAGTTTTCTTTCTTCCTGAACCAAGAGGGCCAGAGGCACATGCTTTGTACCTCCATGTAAAAAGCAATTGATTTCCCCACAAAGCAGAGTAGTGGGCGTTGGTTTGAGACTAGAGTTTGGAAATGCCTTGGTGGTTTTCACCCTGGCAGCTGACATAGGCCCAACCCCCTCCCCACCCACCCGGGTGGGGCCGAGGCCCTCACCTCCTGCCCTGGGGACTGCATTCCACGTCCACCTCCACTGTGGGAGGAAGGGTGTGGCACGTCGCAGCTGGGACCTTGTGCCCGACCCTGGGCAGCCTCCACACGGCTCGGCAGTGTGTGACGGGAGTGCCAAGTCTGCGGGGGCACCCATGCCCCGCTGTGGACGGGGGTGTCACTGTGCCAAGGACGCTCTGGGCAGATGCGTTAGACCCTCTGTCTGATGGCAACACCCCTGCCCTCCCGAGCTCCGGGCGGAACTCAGCCTGACCCCAGTGGCCCGCACTTCTTGTCTCTGGCTCCGCGGCTGTGGACGGCGACTCAGCGCGGTGTGACCCGGCCTTGTGGCGCCCGCTGACCAGCCCTTTCCTTGCAGCCACACACACTCGCCCGGGTCTATGGCCACAGCCGGGGAGTGGTCCTGTGCGCGCTGCACCTTCCTGAACCCTGCCGGCCAGCGCCAGTGCTCCATCTGCGAGGCCCCCCGGCACAAGCCCGACCTCGACCACATCCTGCGGCTCAGCGTGGAGGAACAGAAATGGCCCTGTGCCCGCTGCACGTTCCGGAACTTCCTAGGCAAGGAGGCCTGCGAGGTGTGTGGCTTCACTCCAGAGCCCGTGCCCGGGGCCTCCCTGCTCCCCATCCTCAACGGCGTCCTGCCGCGGCCGCGCGCCGCGCCTGCGCCTGCGGAGCCCAAGGGCAGCTGCCCGGAGGAGGCGGAGCCGGCCGCGGGCGCGCGGGACGCGGGGAAGGAGCCGCAGAGTGAGGAGGCCGCGGCCGAGCCCGGGCGCGGTTGGGCTTGCCAGCGCTGCACCCTGCACAACACTCCGGTGGCCAGCTCCTGCTCTGCCTGCGGGGGCCCCCGGAAGCTGTCGCTGCCCCGCATCCCCCCGGAGGCCCTGGTGGTCCCCGAGGTGGTGGCCCCCGCGGGCTTCCACGCCGCTCCTGCCCCGCCCCAGCCCGACCTCCTCGGGAGAGGCCCAGAGACCGACCCCCCGTCCGCGGACCCGGAGCCCCCCAAGGTCCCGCCCTTCGGCCCCTTCTCACCCACCCTGCAGAACAATCCCGTGCCCCGGAGCCGCAGGGAGGTCCCCCCCCAGCCGCAGCCCCCCGCGCCCGAGGCCGCTCAGCCGCAGCCCCCCACCAGCCAGGGCCCAGGCCGGGCGGCAGCCGGGGCCTCGCGCCTGGCAGAGCTGCTGTCGGGCAAGCGGCTGAGCGCGCTGGACGAGGAGGCCCCGGAGGGCAGCCCCGGCCAGGGCCAGGGCGAGGCCTGCAGGGACACCATTGACCTGGCCGGAGACACCGTGCGCTACACCCCGGCCAGCCCCTCCAGCCCCGACTTCACCACCTGGTCCTGTGCCAAGTGCACCCTCAGGAACCCCACCGCGGCCCCCCGGTGCTCGGCGTGCGGCTGCTCCAAGCTGCACGGCTTCCAGGAGCACGGCGAGCCTCCCCCGCACTGCCCGGACTGCGGCTCGGACAAGCCCGGCCCCTGCGGCGGCTGCTGCGGGCGCGGCCCGCCCTCCGCGCCCAGGGCCGCCCGCGCGCCCCCAGAGCGGCCCGGCCAGTGGGCCTGCCCGGCCTGCACGCTGCTCAACGCGCCGCGGGCCAAGCACTGCGCCGCCTGCCACACGCCCCAGGTCCTGGTGGCCCAGCGCCGCGGCGCGCCTCTGCGGCGCAGGGAGAGCATGCACGTGGAGAAGCGGAGGCAGACGGACGAGGGCGAGGCCAAGGCGCTCTGGGAGAACATCGTGGCCTTCTGCCGGGAGGTGAGAGCCGACTGCCGATCCCCCACCCGCGCTGTGCCGGGGCCCGGGCCGGGGTCCCTCTGAGCCGCGGCGCACCCGCGCAAGGCCGCCCCCGCGGGGGAGGTGGCGGCACGCCCCGCCCGCCCCGCCTGTCTGAGCGCCTGGCTGTGGTCCCGCAGAACAGCGTGAGTTTTGTGGATGACAGCTTCCCCCCCGGGCCCGCGTCGGTGGGCTTCCCGGTGGGCGACAGCGTCCAGCAGCGCGTCAAGCAGTGGCTCCGGCCCCACGAGATCAACTGCTCCGTCTTCAGGGACCACGGCACCCCGTGGTCGGTCTTCCACACCCTCCGGCCCTCCGACATCCTCCAGGGCCTGTTAGGGAACTGTTGGTGAGGCTGCGTTCTCCGGCCGGGGTTGGTGGGCTGGGTCCGGGTCCGGGTCCCGGCGGGCGGGCGCGGGAGGGAGGGCGGGCGGGCGCGCGCGGGCGGACGGGCGCGCGCGGGGCGGGGCGCGCGCGGGCACGGGCGGGCGGGCGCGGGCCTGGGCGGGCGGGCGCGGGCGCGGGCGGGCGAGCGGGCGCGGGCGCGGGCGGGCGAGCGGGCGCGGGCGCGGGCGGGGCGAGCGGGCGCGGGCACGGGCGGGCGGGCGCGGGCCTGGGCGGGCGGGCGCGGGCGCGGGCGGGCGAGCGGGCGCGGGCGCGGGCGGGCGGGCGGGCGCGGGCCTGGGCGGGCGGGCGGGCGGGCACGGGAGGGTGGGCGGGCGCGGGCGGGGGGCGGGCGGGGCGCGGGCCTGGGCGGGCAGGCGGGCGGGCACGGGGGCGGGCGGGCACGGGAGGGAGGGCGGGCGGGCGGGCACGGGGGCGGGCGCGGGTGGGCGGGCGCGGGCGGGCGCGGGCCTGGGCGGGCGCGGGCCTGGGCGGGCGCGGGCGCGGGCGGGCGCGGGCCTGGGCGGGCGCGGGCGCGGGCGGGCAGGCGGGCGGGCACGGGGGCGGGCGGGCACGGGAGGGAGGGCGGGCGGGGCGGGCGCGGGCCTGGGCGGGCGCGGGCCTGGGCGGGCGCGGGCGGGCGGGCGCGGGCGGGCGCGGGCGCGGGCGGGCACGGGAGGGAGGGCGGGCGGGCGGGCACGGGGGCGGGCGCGGGCCTGGGCGGGCGCGGGCGGGCGGGCGCGCGCCCGGTCAGGCGGCCTGCCTCCTGCAGGTTCCTGAGTGCGCTGGCCGTGCTGGCCGAGCGGCCCGACCTGGTGGAGCGCGTGATGGTCACGCGCGGCCTGTGCGCCGAGGGAGCCTACCAGGTGCGCCTGTGCAAGGACGGCACGTGGACCACGGTGCTGGTGGACGACATGCTGCCGTGCGACGAGTCCGGCTTCCTCCTCTTCTCCCAGGTGGGCGGGGCCTGGCGGGGGCGGGGCCGGCTGCCCTGTGATGAACCCAGCTTCCTCCTCTTCTCGCAGGGGGCGGGCGGGGGCGGGGCCGGCTGCCCTGTGATGAGTCCGGCCTGACTCCTCTTCTCGCAGGGGGCGGGGCTTGGTGGGCGGGGCTGGCCTGACCCCTCTTCTCGCAGGGGGCGGGGCTTGGTGGGCGGGGCTGGCCTGACCCCTCTTCTCGCAGGGGGCGGGGCCGGCTGCCCCCTCTTCTCACAGGGGGCGGGACCGGCTGACCCCTCTTCTCGCAGGGGGCGGGGCCGGCTGCCCCCTCTTCTCGCAGGGGGCGGGGCCGGCTGCCCCCTCTTCTCGCAGGGGGCGGGGCCGGCTGACCCCTCTTCTCGCAGGGGGCGGGGCCGGCTGACCCCTCTTCTCGCAGGGGGCGGGGCCGGCTGCCCCCTCTTCTCACAGGGGGCGGGGCCGGCTTCCCTGTGATGAGCCCGGCTGCCCCCTCTTCTCGCGGGGGGCAGGGCCTGGTGGGCGGGGCCGGCTGCCCCCTCTTCTCGCAGGGGGCGGGGCCTGGTGGGTGGGGCCGGCTGCCCCCTCTTCTCGCAGGGGGCGGGGCCGGCTGCCCCCTCTTCTCGCGGGGAGTGGGGCCTGGTGGGCGGGGCCGGCTGCCCCCTCTTCTTGCGGGGGCGGGGCCGGCCTGACCCCGCCCTCTCCCCAGGCACAGCGGAAGCAGCTGTGGGTGGCTCTCATCGAGAAGGCGCTGGCCAAGCTGCACGGCTCCTACTTTGCCCTCCAGGCAGGGCGCGCCATCGAAGGCCTGGCCACGCTCACCGGCGCCCCCTGCGAGAGCCTGGCGCTGCAGGTCAGCTCCACTAACCCCCGCGAGGAGCCCGTTGACACTGACCTCATCTGGGCCAAAATGCTGAGTTCTAAGGAGGCTGGGTAAGAGGGGCGGGCGCTGCCACCGCCCGCGGCGTTGGGAGGCGAGGCAGGCGGAGCGGTGGGAGAAGCGGGGGGCCGCGTCCTCGGACTGCGCCTCACAGAGCTCCGCGCGGGCCGGCCAGAACCGAGAGGCCTGGCCAGAACTCGGCCCCCAGCGGGGCCAGGGCTATTCCCACCTCGGGGAGGCCACATCCCGTCCCGGGCCGGAGCTCAGGGTCTCCTGATCGAGAAATGGGCAGGATGAGCACACGGAAGGGCCCTGTGAAGTGGGGGGTGTGTTCTGAGACCTGCCTCCACCTGAGGCTTGAGAGAGGAGGCCCGGCTGCCAAGACCCCCACCCTCGGCTGGCCCTGGGCCCTGAGCCGGTCAACCTGCCCTGGTCCAGGCCTCCCGAGCTTGGGCAGAACCCGTCCTGAGGGCTTGCCCCCAGACAGCGAGGAGCCTCTTCCTGCTCCCCACCCGTCCATCAGCAAAGATCACTTTCCTGCACAGGTTCCTCATGGGGGCTTCCTGCGGCGGAGGCAACATGAAGGTGGATGACACGGCCTACGAGAGCCTGGGCCTGCGGCCTCGCCACGCCTACTCCATCCTGGACGTCCGTGATGTCCAGGGCTCCAGGTAGGGGCCCAGTGGCAGGCAGCCAAGCCGTGGACATGGGTGGAAGCCATGGGGAGTGGTCGTGGGTCCTGGCGCCGTGGTCTGCCTGGTGGGAGCCGTGGGGAGCCAGTGGGTCCCCAGCCCCGAGGGTGCCGTCGTGGCTCTCAGCCCTGCGGTCCACAGGCTCCTGCGGCTCCGGAACCCCTGGGGCCGTTTCTCCTGGAACGGCAGCTGGTCAGATGAGTGGCCACACTGGCCAGGGCACCTGCGGGCCGAGCTCATGCCCCACGGCAGCAGCGAGGGTGTATTCTGGATGGAGTACAGCGATTTCATCAGGTACCAGACACCCTGACCCGTCCTGCAGCCCTCCTCTCCCACTTACCTGGGCAGGACGCCTGCTGGGCTGACTGCAGAGCCCAGGTCTGCATATTGGTGTTGTTTGGGGGGACGGGTCAGTCAGCTTGCTGTCCCGGAGAGAAGCCAGGCACCCGTGGCTCGTGCCTATAATCCTAGCTATTCCAGCAGCTAGAGCTGGTGGAGCAGGAGTTAAAGCTAGCTCAGGCAGAAAAGCACATGAGATTCCATTGAAAAAGAAAGAAAAAGAAAGCAGGGCTGGAGGCCTGAGTTCAAATACCAGAACCACCAGAATAATACATGAGCAGAAAGAGGAAAGGTTTCTGTGGTTTCTCAGTGCACAGGTAGCTGGCTCCCTTGCTGTAGGCTTATAATGAGGAAGAAATGGCGACCTACAGGGCCTGGCCAAGTAGAGTTGCTCACCATATGGAGGCTAGGAGGCAGAGAGACAGGAAGGGACCAAGGTGAGGTACAGCCTTCCTCTAACAAGACACACTCAACATGAACTCACTGTCCCTGGTGGGTTAATCCATTGAGGACACCAGCACTCTTGTGAGCAAGCCATTTCTCAATAGCGCCACCAGCAGGAGACAATCCTTACACACCTGAGCTCTGAGGGGACACTTAACCTCCCAAGGGAGGCCAGCAGAGCCTTTCCCCAGCGTGAGCCGAGGGCCTTGCTGGGTGCCCAGAGCCAGGCAGCAGAGGCCCGCAGGGTGGGGCCCGCCCCGGGCAGAGGTCTGAGGCTGCGGCTCTCCTCAGAGGCCTCGTCCTCACCCCCAGGTACTTTGACTCCGTGGACATCTGCAAGGTCCACTCGGACTGGCAGGAGGTGCGGGTGCAGGGCAGCTTCCCCAGCACGGCCAGCCGGCCAGTGGGGGTGACGGCGCTCACCGTGCTTGAGCGAGCCTCGCTGGAGTTTGCGCTCTTCCAGGAGGGCAGCAGGTGGGCAGGCAGGGGGGTGCTTCTCCCGGCCCCTCCCCACCCCCACCCCCCGCCACAGCCACACGAAGGCCCCGCCTGCGCTCTGACCGGCAGGCGCTCGGACACCGTGGACAGCCACCTGCTGGACCTTTGCATCCTGGTGTTCCGCGCCACCTTCGGCAGTGGTGGCCGTCTGAGCCTGGGCCGCCTCTTGGCCCACAGTAAACGCGCTGTCAAAAAGTTTGTGAACTGCGACGTCATGCTGGAGCCCGGGGAATACGCCGTGGTGTGCTGTGCCTTCAACCACTGGAGCCTGGCCCCGCCGGGCCCGCCCACTGCTGCCCAGGGTAATAGCCCCAGCCAGGCCACCCACCCCCGCCCGCCTCCTGACGCTCCGAGCCTGCCCCAGGAAGGCTGCTGCCCCCTTCATCCACACCCTCCCACAGCCCCTGGCCCCTCAGCCGGCGCACCTCCCGGCCATGTGCTCGCGGTGTACAGCTCCAGGCTGGTTATGGTGGAGCCAGTCGAGGCCCAGCCGACCACACTAGCGGACGCCATCATCCTGCTCACAGAGAGCCGCGGTGAGCGCCACGAGGTAGGTGTGCTGTCGCCCGGGGGCGGGAGTGCGGTGGGCGGGCCCTGTGCCCACCAGCCCCACCCACCCTGTACCCGCACAGGGCCGGGAGGGCATGACCTGCTACTACCTGACGCACGGCTGGGCGGGCCTGATTGTGGTAGTGGAGAACCGGCACCCCAAGTCCTACCTGCACGTGCAGTGCGACTGCACCGACAGCTTCAACGTGGTGTCCACGCGCGGCAGCCTGCGCACGCAGGACAGCGTGCCACCCCTGCACAGGTGGGTGCCCGGCCCCCGCCCTGCCCCGCCCAGCCCCGCCCGGTCCTAACCAGCCCTCCCCCCAGGCAGGTTCTGGTGATCCTGTCCCAGCTAGAGGGCAACGCCGGATTCTCCATCACCCACCGCCTGGCACACCGCAAGGCCGCCCAGGCCCTCCTCAGCGACTGGACGGCCTCCAGGGGCACCCACAGTCCCCCGCTCACCCCCGAGGTCGCCGGCCTGCACGGGCCCCGGCCGCTGTGAGGGCCACACCCGGGGCGGGCTGTGTGCAAACCACCCCTGCCCCCTCCACATGCACTTTATGAGGGAGACCCCGAAGGAGGGTGCTTGAACCAGAATCTCAGGACCCCACTGGGGGGGCCGCTGGCTGCGGGGCACAGCGTCCCTGGGCCATCCCCCCCTCCCCCTCCCCCACCCTGGGCACTGCAGCCCCTTGGCCAGGACCCCACTGGGGGGGGGCCCACTGGCTGTGGGGCACGGCTTCCCTGGGCCACCCGCCATCCCCCACCCCACCCCGGGCACCGCAGCAGCCTCCTGGCCAGGCTGCCCAGCCACCAAGCAGAATACCTCGAGCCAGCTGGGCCGTGCACCTGCCCCTCCCACCTGCCGGCCCTGGAGACCGCTTCGGGCATTGGAGCCACACCGCAGTGCCCCTCCCCGCCAGCATGGCAGCCAGGGTCTCTGTTCACAAAACCAAATCTAGTGAGAGCTGGAACTCCCCTTGAGGTCCATGGCTTCCTGCCTCAGTTTACCCAGCCCAGCTCCCTGCCCTCACGCGGTGAGTGGGGTCTCTGGAGCCTGTCACACAGGCAGCGCATTCCAGGAGCAGGTTCCAGTGGCCACAGGCCAAGGCTTGCAGACAGGCCTCCAGCTGCCCCTCGGTGACACTATGCAACTCCCGGAATGCCTGCCAGGACTGAAGCCATGACCGGGTGTGGGGCTGGGGGCCAGGCCTGGCCCGGCCCTGCTGCCTGGAGAGGTGCTTTGTCCTCCACGCCTCCGACCACGGTCAGGCGGGCCAGCCCCACAGAAGGACCCCAGCCCCATCCCAGGCCTGAGCCGGGCTCAGCTGCTCCCCCGGCCCCAGCCAGACCAGGAGGCTGAGCTGCCCACCCGCCCAGCGTCCCCCAGCCGCTCGTCCAGGCCTGCTTCCTGGGCCTCCTGCCCCTCTGTCAGTCTCCTGCCCACCGCCCCCCCATGCCCCCCCCCCCGTGGCAGCAGCCTGCCCCCCGCCCCCCCGTGGGGCTTGCAGTGTTTTTACACTGAGAGAAGTCCCCCTCCCCCTGGGCCCCCTTTTACTCCGAGCTGTGAATATTTTTAACACTGTAAATACAGCCAGCTCTTCAGACACAGAGACTATTTTATCAGCTGCCAGTCCCTTCCCGTTCTGATGACTCCATGGGCGGTTTCCACTCAGGCTCCAAGGACCAAATAAAAGCATTTTGTTTCGTAAGGGAGCCTCCTGTCCATCTTCACCCCTCTAGGGCCCCATAAGAAGGTGGCTGTCGCAAGAACCAGTGGCTGGCGTCCCTCGATAGTGCTGTGGGGCTGCCTAGGGGATCCAGTGGCCACTCCTGCCTCAGACCAGCCTCAGCTGGGGGGGGGCAGGCAACCAGCCTCAGCTGGTGGGGGGGGCGGAGCATTGGGGGGGACAGACACTCTCTGGGAAGAAGCAAGTGTTCAGGGCAGGCAGAGCTGTGGCTAGGCCCTGCAGCCAGGAAGGACCCTCAAGGCTGACAGGACAGGATGTATGTGTGGCTTTTCCCTGCCTGCATTTGGTGCCCTGTCTGAACCCATCAGTCACCAGACAGGAGCAGATGGAGCTGGGGCGGGGGCGGCGTGGGACCAGAGTTGCTCTCGCCCTGCCTTACCCCTCCCTGACCTGGTCCAAACGGGTGTCACAGGTGATGCTGAAGCCCTGGGCCCAGCTGGCTGGCAGCCCAGGCCCCTTGGGGGGCCGGAGGGGGCCCAGGGTGGGCAGAGGCCAGGGTGCAGGGCCAGCCGGGTGTACAGCGGAAGAGGCCTGTCACAGGCCAGCCCATCGAATGTGAAAGCAATTAAAGCCACCAGCAGTGTTCGCTCCAGGCGGGCCTCAGGCGGCGGGGCAGCTGCCACAATGTATCTCACCTCAGCGCCCACAGCTCGGCCCTGCCCCTCTGCGGCTGCTTGCCAGGCTGGACCTCCTCTTCTGGGGTGGGGGTGAGGTATCTGTTCCCACCATGCTTTGGCACGGGCTGGCTTCCTCCACCCCTGGTGTCTGGGGCAGTTCGGGTCCCCTCCTGCCTCCCCAAACCCTTTTCCTTGGTCCTGGACCCACCACATTCAGCCCCCACTTCTTTGGCCTCCATCACCTCCAATCTCAGGACAGCACAGGCCCGAGGCCCAGGACCCCAGGGCCTCCCGTCCTGCCCCCTCCCCAGCCAAGACCGACCCTCCCCTTGGTCCCAACACGGGGGTCCAGGCAAGGGAGCCTCCAGAGAGGGGCTGGAGATGCACAGGCAAGACCAGCCTGGTGCGGGCGGGAAGCCAGGGCTCCCAGTGGCCACTGTGGACCTGAGGCAGGTCCGGGTGATGGGAGCAGTCTCCACAAGTTTAAGGAGGATGAGGTGGCCGGCTGGCCAGGGCCAGCGGTGTCTGCAGGCCTCCGCTGAATCAGCGGGTGTGCAGGCGGCTCAGCCATGCTGCAGTGCAGCTGGGGCCTGACCCTGCCTGGTAGGGGACGGGCCGGCCTGAGTCCCAGTGAGCAACAGATGAGTCCCTGCATGGGAAGGGCCCCGGGGTGCAGAGGTGCAGAGGCTTCTCCTCCCGCTGCGTCCCGCCTCCGGGGCTCCTCACAGCTGCCCGCTCCCCATCTCCTCTACCAAGAGTTACACCCTAGCCCGGGCTCTCTGCAAAAAGTGGCCCTGTTGATGCCATGCTCCCACGCCCCTGCCCTAGCCTCTTGGCCCTGCTGCTGTGATGGCCTTCCCGAGGTGGATGGTGGCCTGTTCTCACTTGTGAGGCGTCCCTGTCAGAAGTACTTAGTGTACAAATTAGCTGCAGCCTCTGCCTCCCTGCGCACAGCTCTGGGCACTGGGCTGACCCGGCTGCAGCTCCCGGGCCCCCTGCCTCCTGCCTGGGGCACAGGGCCATTCCGTGTGCACCCCTGGCTGCTGCCCACGTCCAAGCAAGAAGGCTCAGACTGCTGGCCAGCCAGGGGTCTCTCCAGGGCCCCCACGTTGAGATTGGCAGGGGTGACCACAATGGCAGAGGGGGAGTTATTTCCAGAACCAGCACCTTGAACCTACAAGGTGGCAGTCCCAGTGTGGGGGCCAGCAGAGGGCCTGGACCAGGGGCCAGCTCACAGGCCCCCTGTGCCCCACCCGCCAGCTGCCTGCCACTCAGGCGGTGAAAATTATCTGTGACAGGCTCGGGAAGGCCGGCCCCGGGGGCCGAGAGCAATGCACACAGCTTCTCTCCCCAACATATGGCTGCTGTCGGCCGCGGGCAAGCACTCCGCCAGAGCCGGGCTGGGAACCGGGGTGGGGGCTCCGGGAGCCCAGGCCTCCCCCACCCACCCAGGATCAGGAGGCCCCTGTCACCCAGCTCCCCTGATGAGGTCTTCCCCCACCACAGTACCTTCTGGCCCCTTGACCATCCCAATTACCCGCTGTCCTTTGGGGAAGCCCCATGTCCACACCAGGCTGGCCAGTGACTCAGCGTGTCCAGAAGGGGCCATTAGACAGATCCCAGCAGGATTTCCCAGGCCGTGTGTGTGTGCCCGCAGTGAGGGCCATACCCCTGCTGCGCCCTCCTGAAGCCAGGCTCTCCCTGCCCACTCAGGCCACGCCCTGTCTCTCCATTCATGTCTCTTCTGTGTCCCTGCTGGGGTTCTCCGGAGCCACAGGGTCTGCAGCTGTGGCCCGTGTGGGGCCCTGAAGCATGACCGGTCCCCTCCAGCCAAGCTCTGGGCCTGTCTTCCCCCCCTCCAATCTGGAACCTCTGAGGCCACCTTGAATGGACAGGGAAGCGAAGCTCCAAGCGGGACCCCTCCCCGGGGGCCATTCTGGGTGCTGCCACATGTCCTATACTGTGGGACAAGGGTGAACAGGTGTGGCCAACCGTGCTGAGTGCCCAGGGGCCCCAGGGCTTCTCCCGCCGCACAGACAGCCCCACTGTGGGCGTCAGGCCTGCCCAGGGCCCCAACACCACACTTCCCTCTGCCCACCAGGGCTGGCGGGCAGCTCAGCCCACACTTGTCCCCTGGCTGCGACACTAAGGGTATGAGACAGTGCTGAGACTGGTTCTTCAGCAGCCTGTGAGCCCACAGTCCACGCAGCCCCAACACTAATGGAGGTGACAGCCCAGCAGCCAGGGGCAGCGGGAGCAAAATGGGTTAATGGCTGAAAAGAGGCTCTGGCTGGGGGCAAGGCCTGCACCCAGGAGTGGCGTTGGGCCTCCGTCTTCGTCCAGGGTCCCACGGAGCTGGGAGCTGCCTGAGGCGTGGCTTTCTCCATCCTTCTTCCCCTTTTTTTGTGCCATCCTGGGACTTGAACTCAGGGCCTGGGCGCTGTCCCTAACCTTCTTTTGCCCAAGGCTAGCACTCTACCACTTGAGCCACAGATGTGCTTCTGGCTTTTTTATATTTCGGTAGTTTAGTGGAGATAAGAGTCTCACAGCCAGACACCGGTGGCTCACGCCTGTCATCCTCGCTACTCAGGAGGCTGAGATCTGAGGATCATGATTCAAATCCATCCCAGGCAGGAAAGTCCGTGAAACTTTTTGTTGTTGTTGTTGTTTGTGGATCTTCCACTCTGGGCCTAGGCACTGTCCCTGAGCTCTTCAGCTTAAGGCTAGCACTCTACCACTTGAGCTACCTTCCCAGCCCATGTCTGTGAGACTCTTATCTGCAATTAACCACCAGAAAACAGGAAGTGGCGCTGTGGCTCAAGCGGTAGAGCACTCTCATTGAGCTGAAGAGCTGAGGGACAGAGCCCAGGCCCAGAGTTCAAGCCCCATAACTGACAAAAAAAAAAAAAAAAAAACAAGTCTCACAGACTTTCCTGCCTGGGCTAGTTTTGAACTTACATCCTCAGATCTCAGCCTCCTGAGTAGCTAAGATTACAGGCACCCAGTTTCCCCGCTTCTGAGAGGAGAGCTCTGTGGCTCAGAGAGTATGAGCTGGGGTCCCACAGCAGGACAGGGGGCCAAGCACCAAAGACATGGGTCCCACTGCTGGTCACCGAGGTCACCCCATGGTGGGGAGCACAGGCCCAGTGGCCATGGGGGCTGGATGAGGCCCCTCGGCCCACAGGAAACTGCCACCTCCAGGGGGCTCTCCAGACCCCTCAGGCGAATCTGGTGGTCCTGCTCACCCCCACTCTGTGCAGACCCTTCCCAGATGCCCAACGTGTGACCCGGTGATGTCCCTTGGGTCCCTTGGGCATTGCCTCTTTCTGTCACCCAGCCTTTTGCAAAGGCCCATCCCTGTGGAGGTGAATGGCCCCAGCTCCCTCCTGCTTTTCCCACATTAAACACAGTCAGCTCCTGACTTTCTCCCCTCTGTCTCCACAGAGCTGGCCTGGGCAGCAGCCGGGTCTCCGGCTACAGACCCCATCCCTGAAGCACTGCATTACACATCTCTAGTTGTCGTCCTCAAACCACGAGCTCCGTACTCACCCAAGGTGTTGTGAGTTTACTCTGTGTGTGCTGAGATGAGGGCTCCCTCGGACCAGGGCATCTCTGAACGGCAGCTGTGGCCTCTGGTCTGCTCTAGGATCTGGGGTTTCCCAGACTCTCGTAGGCACAGAGCTGTCCCTGAGGTTCAGGAGCCAAAGCCTAGTCTCCAGCTCTACTCTCAGGGTGACCTGGGCCACTGGCTGCTTCGGCCAGAGCCCAAGATGAGGGCCCTGTCTCCTGGTCCCAGTGTTTCACAAGGCTGTTGGCATGATGGTGGGTCACCCAAGGTCTCCCCAGGCCTGGCCAGGCAGGCAGATAGGAAGCCCGCATGGTGATGGAGAGAGCTAGACGCATGGGCTGTGCCGCAGCTCCTGAGGGCCCTGGGTATCCATCCACAAGGACCAATTCTGCCTTTTGCGTCTGGTGCGCCCCCTGGCTGCCGCAGCTCAGGCCTGAAACCCGAGTCACCAGCGGGTCCTCTGCGTGTCACAGCTGTTTCCCACCGGCCGCGGCCGCTCCACAGCCTGGAGCTGAGCCGTCTCCAAGGCCGGGAGGTCCCAGCCTCCTCTCACTGCACAGCCTGAAGTCTAAAATGCCACGGAACGCGTCTCTGGGTTAGTGTCTTCCCTCAGTCACAGGCCAGCTCTCAGGAGAGACCGCATCTGGCCCTGCCCCACGACACCAGTGTCCACGGCTGGACAGGCCCAGCTGGACAGGTGGCTGAGAAAGTGTGGCCCTGGGACTGCAGTGTTGGCCGTGAGGTGCTGATGAGGCCACCTGGGGTCTGCGGTGTGCCTGGGGACCCAGACCCTCCTGGGCACCTCACCACCCCAAATGTCTCCAAGAGGGGCACCGAGACCCTCAGAGAGCCGCACAGGCGGGGCAGGAGCTGTGGTCCCCAGGTGCTTTCTGGGTCCAGCGGGGCCATGGGGCTGTGACACGGGGCGGGGCAGAGGGGGTGTGACCCGGGGATGGGGGACTGTGGGGTGGGACGTGCGGCAGGGGGGTCGCGGGGGGGGGGGTGTGACACGGGGCAGGGGTCGCGGGGTCACCGCGTGGCCCCGTGGAGGCCCGGCCCCTCCCTGCGCGCCCAGCCCCGCGGGCCGGGCTCGGGGCGCGGCGGAGGCGGGGACGGCGCGCGCCGCTGCGGGGCGGGAGACGCCGCTCCGCGCTGCCCGGCGGCGCCCGCGGGCCCCGGGCGGGACCGCGCTGCCCGCGCCCCGCGCCCCTGCGCTCCGGGAGCGGCCGCGGGCGGCGCCTCCCGCGCCCCGGCCCCGCGCCCCGCCGGCGCCGATCCGGACCCGCGCCCGGCGCACGCGCGCCTCGCCGTCGACTCGGGCGGGCGCCGCGGCGGCGTCGGGCAGCGCGGGCGGCGGCCGGGCGGGGGCCGCGCCCGCCTCAGTTTCCCCGCGGGAAGTTCGCCCTCCGCGCGGCGCGCGGCCGGGCGCGGGCTCGGCGGACGCGGTAAGGACGCGGGGCCGGGGCGCCCAGTTGGCGGCGGGGAGCGCGAGGCCGGCGCGGGGAAGGGACGGGACGGGCGGGCGCGGGGCCGGGGAGCGGGGCGGGCGCGGGGCCGGGGAGCGGGACGGGAGCGGGGCCAGGAGCGGGACGGGAGCGGGACGGGCGCGGGGCCGGGGAGCGGGACGGGAGCGGGACGGGCGCGGGGCCGGGGAGCGGGACGGGCGCGGGGCCGGGAGCGGGGCCGGGGAGCGGGACGGGAGCGGGGCCGGGAGCGGGACGGGAGCGGGGCCGGGGAGCGGGGCGGGCGCGGGGCCGGGGAGCGGGGCGGGCGCGGGGCCGGGGAGCGGGGCGGGCGCGGGGCCGGGGAGCGGGGCGGGCGCGGGGCCGGGGAGCGGGACGGGAGCGGGGCGGGCGCGGGGCCGGGGAGCGGGGCGGGCGCGGGGCCGGGGAGCGGGACGGGCGCGGGGCCGGGGAGCGGGACGGGCGCGGGGCCGGGGAGCGGGGCCGGGGAGCGGGGCCGGGGAGCGGGGCGGGCGCGGGGCCGGGGAGCGGGACGGGCGCGGGGCCGGGGAGCGGGACGGGCGCGGGGCCGGGGCGCGGGGCGGGCGCGGGGCCGGGGAGCGGGACGGGAGCGGGACGGTCCGGTCCCTCGGAAGCCGCCCCGAGCCGCGTCCCGCCGCCGCGCGCCCTCGTCCCGCGCAGCCCGGAGCGCGGGGCCCGAGTCTGGGGCGCTTTTTGCGTCGGGGGCTCTGCGCGGGGCCGCGGGGCGGAGCTGGCGTCCTGCCCGGACCCCGGTTCCCCCACCCCGGACCCCGGTTCCCCCTCCCCGGACCCCGGTTCCCCCACCCCGGACCCCGGACCCCGGTTCCCCCTCCCCGGACCCCGGTTCCCCCACCCCGGAGCCCGGAGCCCAGCCCCGGTTCCCCGGCCCCGCCCGGGCGCGGGCGCCCCTCCCGCCGGTCCCCGCGGGACGCACAGCTGCGCGGCTCCCGGGGCCGCGTGATCGATGCCCGCGCGGCCGGGCTCGCGCGTCTGTCACCGCGCGGGGCGGGCAGGGCGGGCGCCCCGCACCGGAGTCCCTGCGGGGTCCAGACCCGGCCGCCTTCCCGCCCGGCTCCCGGGAAGGGCGCGTCCTGGGGTGAGGGGACCGCGGCCGTGAGTGTGCACGCACGCGTGCAAATGCTGTGTGCGCGCGCACACGCGAGCCAGCAGTGTGTGTGCGTGTGCATTGTGCTGTGTGTGCATGCATGTGCGTGCGCGTGTGTGCACGTGTGTGTGCGTGCATGCATGTGAGTGTGCGTGTGTGCGTGCATGTGTCTGCACGCGTGTGTGCGAGCGTGTGTGTGGTGTCTGTGCACACACAGGACTGCGGAGGGTGTGTTCTGTCAGCCAGCAGCGTGTGGTGTCTGTGCCCCGCAGTGTCTGCGGTGAGCAGGGGCGGGTAGGTGCGTGTGCCCGCAGCACGGGGCTTGGGCTGCACACCCTGAGCCCAGTGGGCTCGGCCAGGCAGGCGCTGTTCTTCAGGCACAGAACAGGGCTACTCAGGAGTCTTGCACGCTGCGTGCACACACCCAAAGCTCACCACGCACCCGTGAGGGCGAGAGGGATGGGCAGCGGGAGGCCAGGTGGCGGCCCAGATGGAGTGAGAAGCTCCGGCCCAGTGTGTAAGGCGTGGGGAGAAGAGGGTCTTGGCTGAGCGTGGCCACTGCAGGCTTGGTCGCTGACCTGCCTCAAGCCACCCAGATGGAGCCGGGCTGAGCAGGTGGCCGCACCACAGGGCCATGCCATGACGTCTGTCCCCCCCCCAGCCCAGCCTGACCCCCCTCCGCCACCAGCATGCCCACCTGACACTGCGCGGGCAGGCCAGGCATGTGTGTGTGTGTGTGCGCGCGCACATGGGCATGTGCATGCACGCTCTCACACACAGGCAGCATTACCAGATACTCAGACCTCTTGCTTTCACCTCAGTGGCTTTGCCTTGGCCTCCGGCAGGGGCAAGCGGCTGGGCAGGAGCAGGGTCTCTGGAGAGACACAAGACCAGTCTCTTACCAGACTGGCATGAAGGGTGGGAGCTAGGTGGAAGAGGATTATTCTAGAAATCTGCCTATGGATGCCATCCTGTTTGGGGGATCTGTGTAGGGCTGCTGGGTAAGCCCAGACCAAACTTGCACTAGAAACTCAGCTGACATCGGGGTCAGCTCTGACCAAATGCCCTACGTTTCCATTTGCTGGACTGGGGCAAAAGAAGGTGGTCAAGAATGAGTGATCTGGGGGCTGGGAAGGTGGCTCAGTGGTAGCGCGCTTGCCTGGCATGCCTGAGGCCCTGGGTTCGATTCCTCAGCACCACATAAGCAAAAAGAAAAAAAAATGCTGGAAGTGGCGCTGTGGCTCAAGTGGTAGAGCGCTCGCCTTGAGCTGAAGAGCTGAGGGACAGTGCCCAGGTCCAGAGTTCAGGCCCCACGACCGGACCCAAAAAAAAAAAAAAAAGAATGAGTGATCTGGGCCGGGAAGGTGGCTCAGTGGCAGAGAGCTTGCCTAGCATGCCTGAGGCCCTGAGTTCGATTCCTCAGTACTACAGACACAGAAGCCGTGCTGTGGCTTAAGTGGTATTGTGTTACCTTTGCGCAAAAGGCGCCCAGACCCCGAGTTCAAGCCCTAGGACTGGGAAAAAGAAAAAAGAAAAGAATGAGGGATCTGTGGTGCAAAGGCCAAAGGAGAAGGTGGGGGGGGACGGGGGGAATGGGGGCGGTGGGGGGTTGGGGGGGATGGGAGGAATGGGGGGAGACGCAGGTGCAGACGCAGGAGTGACCTGGGTTCTTATTCCTGGGCGGGCCTGGCGTAGGGAGCAGAAAGGCCTCGGCTGGCCTGACCGTGGACCCCTCCACAGGTGGTCATGCTGGTGCCCGTGCCTGCCCACTAGCGGCTGCCATGTCTCGGGAGGCTGGCTCCTGCCGTCTGGGGGCCGGGGCCAGGGTGCGCTCCCGAAAGCCCAAGAAGCCGCACTACATCCCGCGGCCGTGGGGGAAGCCCTACAACTACAAGTGCTTCCAGTGCCCCTTCACGTGCCTGGAGAAGTCTCACCTCTACAACCACATGAAGTACAGTCTCTGCAAGGACTCCCTCTCCCTGCTGCTAGACTCACCAGACTGGGCGTGCCGCCGGGCGACCCCCTCGCCCAGGCCCCGGGCCCCCAGCCCCGCGGGCCCCCGGGCTCCCCCGGATCCAGACAGCCAGCCCGCCGTGTCCAGCCTCGTGGCTACTGACGGGCCCCCCCATGCCCCCAAGGCTGGGACAGAGGGGCCCCCAGGGGCCCTGCCGGCCCTGGCTCGGCATGTCCTGAAGGGTCCTGGCCCTGGTGGTGAGCTCCTGGCAGAGTCATGGAAGCCAGGGCCGGGCAGCGGCCTGAGGAGCACGGTGGCGGCTGGGGCCCCTGGGGGGCCTGGGGGCAGTGTCCCCTGCTACCCTCCCCCCGGCCCCGGAGAGTTTGCTGAGGCCCAGGGCCTCCACTTGTCACTGCTAGGCGTCAACTACCCCCTCAGCCCTGGCCTCTTCTCCTACCTGGGGCCCTCCCTGGCCGCGGCTGCCCACGTGCCGCTCCTGGCCTCGGCCAGCCCCCTGCTGCCCCCCACGGCGGCCTTCGCGGCCCCGCAGACCCCTGAGCGCCCGGCCCTCACCCCTCGACTGTTCTACCCACTGCTGCTGGAGCACAGCCTTGGGCTGCCGGCAGGCAGGGCTGCCTCGGCCAAGCCCTCCGGGCCCCCCAAGGGGCTCCCGGGGACTCTGGCTCCTGGGCTACTGAAGATGCCTGTTGTCCCAGGGCTGGGGAGGTTCTGGTCCCATGGCACCCCTCGGGGCCCAGGGCAGGAAGGAGAACTGGAATCGGCGGCTCAGAGAGACCCCCAAAGGCAGCTGGCGCCAGGAAGCAGGCCAGAACACCCGAAGGCCTCCTCCAGCCTGGCGGAGCTCGGGCGCCAGGGCAGGTGGGTGTCAGGGCCGCGGGTTCCGGGGGAAGGCTTGGGGGAGGCTGGATGGGAGACGGGGCTCCAGGCTTGAAATTACTGACCACAGACCTAACGTAAGAGGGCATCCTTTTTCCTTTTGTCTTCAATACTGGGGTTAGAATTCAGGTTCATGTGCTTTTTTTTTTTTTTTTGTCGTGGGGTTTGAACTCTGGGCCTGGGCGCCGTCCCTCCGCTCTTCAGCTCAAGGTGAGCACTCTACCACTTGAGCCACAGCGCCACTTCCAGTTTTCTAGTGATTTATTGGAGATAGGAGTCTCACAGTCTTTCCTGCCCAGGCTGGCTTTGAACTGCGATCCTCAGATCTCAGCCTCCTGAGTAGCTAGGATGACAGGCGTGAGCCACTGGTGCCTGGCTAGGTTCATGTGCTTTTTTTAGACAGGTGTTCTACCACTTAAGTCTTGCCCCTAACCCTTTTTGCTTTGCTCTGTGTGTGTGTGTGTGTGTGTGTGTGTCCTGTGACCTGAACTCTGGGCCTGGACACTGTCCCTGAGCTTCTTTTGCTCCAGGTTAGCACTCTATCACTTGAGCCACAGCTCCCCTTCCAGTTTTTTCTGTGTATGTGGCACTGAGGAAATAAACCCAGGGCTTCACGCATGCTAGGCAAGCGCTCTACCATTGAGCCACATTTCCAGCCTGAATCTACCATTTAAGCCATGGCACCATTTCCAGCTTCTTGGCAGTTAGTTGGAGATAAGAGGATCATGGACTTTTCTGCCCAGGCTGGCTTTGAATTGTGATCCTCAGATCTCAGCCTCCTGAGTAGTCAGGATGACAGGTGTGAGCCCCCAGTGCCTAGCTGTAGTCATTGTGAGTAGGACCTCGTGTTTATGCCCCTCAGCCAGACTCACAGCTCCGCTGGGGTAACAGACTTGGCCACCATTGAGATGGGGCTTCACAAACGTTTTGCTGGGGCTGGCTTCCAATTACTTCCTTCTCCCAAGAAGCTAGGATTACAGGTGCATGCCACCACGTCAGGCTCAGAGGGCTTCCCGTTTGTCGTTGTGGACCCCGGCTCTAGACTGTGGTGTTATTCTTTTTCCCTGGGGCATGGTTGACACACTGGGCAGAGGACACAGGCAGGGGCTGGGGTACAGCGGGGCCCGTGCAGCCTCCTGACCAGCTCTTATCCACCCCCAGCCTGCCGCCCGCGACCCTGCTCTGGCCTGAGAATGAGGAGCCCGGTGGCCCGGAGGCCCCAGGCCCACAGGGCCCCCTCCCCCAGCAGCCACGAGGCCCAGTGCTGGGAAGCCCGGGGCCCGTGGGTGAAGACCTGACCCGGGCCCTGGGTGACTTTGCCAGAGTGGAGCAGTGCCTGGGGCAGCTGACCCCAGCGGGGGGCCTGCCCCCCCGGCCTCTGCGGGAGCAGCTGGGCAAGATCCGCCGCGAGCTGCTCACCATCCACCAGGCGCTGGAGCAGGCTGCCCGGCTGCCAGACGCGCCCCTCGACCTCTCCGTGAAGCGGGTGCCCACCAAGGGACCAGAGCTGCCTACGGCCTGGGGGCTGCCCCCGCCAGGTCCAGTGCCGGCCCCGGGGGCCCCAGAGCGCCCCGGCCCGCTGGGTCCTGCAGCCCTTGAGCCTTTCCCTGGCCACACCACCAAGTGCGAGGCGGACTCCAGCGTGCCACCCCCCAGCCTCCTCCTTCAGCCCCCCGAGGACGCTGCCGGGGGCTGGGGCACCCGGCTCGGGGCTGGGGCCTCCCAGACTCCTAAACACGCCCCGGGAGTGCCTAGCCCCCCGGCAGCGGCTGCTGGTGTGCAGCCCCCTTAGCTGGCCGTCCTGTCCCTCCCGGTCCTGGGCTCCCCGCTCAGGGCTCTCCGGTCTCGGTCTCGTGTGCATGTGGACTGCCCGCCCCCGCCCGTGCAGAGCCTCTGGCCTCTGGTCACATAGGAATAGTGAGCTCACGGTTATTTATTGATCACACTTGTGGACATTAAACTAGAAGCCGCCTTCACATGTCTCCTTCCATTGCCGTCCTAGTGCGGGAGCCTGGACACTCCAGAGAAAACCTCTCCCACAGGAGGTGCCTGCCCACTGCCCGGGCACCTCTGGCTCTGGTGCCCTCCTGGGGGGGGGCACCTGCCAGAGACCCTGGGAGGAATGGCAGGGAGGCGTGTGTGGGGCGCGGTGGATGGGCCTCCTCAGGGCCCTCCTGTCGGTGTTGCCTGTGGCTGCCGCTGCCTCCTGTTTCTGTGGCTGAGCTGCTCACCCTGTGTGGCCTCCCTGGGTCCCCGCCAGCCCCTGCAGCCATGATAGGCATCAGTGGCCTTCACAGCTGGCTGCCCCTTCCTAGTACAGCCTGACTTGGCCCTGGGTGGGGGCGGCAGGCCGGGAGGCCGCCCGTGGCCTGCAGCCACAGCTCATCGCTTCCCTCCCCGGGGAGCTGGCCTCACCCTCCATGGTCCCTGAAGTGTAAGTTCTGTTTCCCGAGTGGGCTGGGCTGGCCGGGCTAGGGCCAGTCTGAACCGGACCTCAGCTGCGCCGTGGGCCTCCCAGCCTGGCGATAGCATCAGGCTCCCCACGGTGACGCGCTAGGGCAGTCTGGGGTTGGGGTGCTGAGTCTGACTGGGCCTCACAGGTGCCCGCTGGGTGTCTGGGGTTGGGGTGCTGAGTCTGACTGGGCCTCACAGGTGCCCGCTGGGTGCCCTCCACCTGGAGGCTTCTGGGGTAGGACGTGATGTGCTGATCCAAGGCAGGGCTAGAGCCCCTCATCTCATGAGACCATCCTGCCTGGATAGGAGGGTGGCCCAGCCGGCAGAACCCCTTCCCCGCGGTCCTGCCTGGGTTGGTGGGAAGGCTGAAGGCTGCCTCTAGTGTGGAGGCCCAGGGACCCCTGGAGAGGGCAGCGGGGCTTCGGCATCCGTCCTGCCGGAGCAGCAGGAGAGGAGGAGACCTGGGCCAAGGCTTGGCAGGGCAGGGCCCGGGACGCACTTGTGCTCTGGAGCTGCTTTGCCCCAGACGCCCCTCCCCTGTCCTCCTCCTGCTCCCTGGGACCTGCGTGGTGACTCCTCCCCAGCTGGTCTCCAACAACAGAGGCCTGAGCTGGGAGACTGCCGGCCTCCCCGGAGGGGCCCTGGAAGAAGCCCATCACCCCCTGGGCTCAGAGCTCTCCCTGCCTGGTGCACAGGGGCGGTGAGGGGTCATCAGGAATTTGGACCATTCCCAAGACAGTGAGTTTGAGAAATGCCACGTATCTGTCACCTCCTCACAAAAACTTTAACTTTTAACCTTCCACCTTCAGGGGTGGGCCAGGTTGCCCAGACTCCAGGCACCTTGACAGCCGGTGATTGCTGGGCCTAAGGGCCCGCGAGAGGCATTCAGCACTGAGGAACTGAGCTTGAATCCAGCTCGGACCCCTCTAGCAACGGCCTCCTCCCAGCCCCAGCCTCCTCCCAGCCTCCTCCCAGCCCCAGCCTCTTCCCAGCCTCCTCCAGCCCCAGCCTCCTCCTAGCCTCCTCCCAGCCCCAGCCTCCTCCCAACCCCAGCCTCCTCCAGCCCCAGCCTCCTCCCAACCCCAACCTCCTCCAGCCCCAGCCTCCTCCAGCCCCAGCCTCCTCCCAACCCCAACCTCCTCCAGCCCCAGCCTCCTCCCAGCCTCCTCCCAACCCCAGCCTCAGCTTCCACCTCAGCTTTAGCCTTGGCCCCAGGCCCCAGCTCCTCCTCTCTGTGATAGGAGGATGCCAACGCTGCCCCCAGAAAGGACTCCAGGACCATCGAGCACCCCGGCACACAGTGCCCCCAACCATCCTGCAGTTTCAGAAAAGCAGAGCGGACGGCTGCTGCCGACCTGCTGCCCTCTGGCTTCCTGGCCTGGCCTGCGGCTCACTCTGGATCCCCCCTCAGGTCCCCCTGGGTCCCCGCGGCCCCGGCTGCTTGGGCGCATCCCAGTGCCCGTGGGCGCTGCAGGGGAGCTCAGGGGCCTACACTGCTCCCCGGATGGCCTGCTCTTCCTGACAGCAGGGTCCAGGCCCTTCGTCCACGTGCTGGACCTGGAGGGACATGCCCTTTGCCACCTGCCGTGCTGCAGGCAGGGCGCTGGGGCCTTCATTCCGGAGGACGTGGCGGTGACGGCCGCGGGGCTGGTGGTGGTCAGCGACCTCATCCATGGGGCCGTCCACGCGCTCCAGCACACCAGACGAGTCCCGCAAGGTCACTGGGCCACTGTGGGCACGTTCCTGTCCCCCAGAGGGCTAGCTGTGGATGCCCTTGGCCGCTTCCTGGTCGCGGACTACCTGCGTGGGTCTGTGCACAGCTTCACCTTGGGCCCCGCCCGGGAGCTGCTGGCCCCGGCTGTGATTCTGGGTCTGGAAGGCCCCTGCTGGGTGGGCCCAGGACCTGACGGGGGCCTGGCTGTGACGGAGGAGTTTGGGAGTGTGTGGTTGTTCGGCAGTGCCCGGCAGCCCCTCGGCTCCCTCGGGGCCCTCACGGGGCACACTTTTGGCCGCCCGGCAGGCGTGTGCTCTGACTCCGAGGGCAATGTCATTGTGGCTGATCAACGGAGGCGTCAGGTGACTCTGTTTCCCCGCGTTGGGCCTCCCATCTGCCTGCTGTCAGAGGGGCTGGAGCGGCCCCTGGGCGTGGCCTGTGCACCGCAGGGCCAGCTAGTCGTGGCAGATGCTGGAGACAACTGCATCAAGATATACCAGTACCTGGGGCCTGGTGGGGAGCCCCAGTGAGCAAAGCCTGTACCTCCAGCGGAGTGGGCTCTGGGGTGGCTGGACCCGCCATCCCACCAGCAGCTGCAGGGCCTGAGCCTGGCTGCACTCGTGTGTTTCTCTTGGCAAGTGCTTCAAACTTGCGGCAACCACACATGAATCAGCTGCCTCCCGAGCCTCCCCCACAAGCCTAGAGCTGGGCCCTTTCCACCCCTCTGTTCAGTGCACCCCTGCCCTGCGCCCAAGTCCCAAGGGCCTGAGTCCCAGGAGGCCTGGGAGCCTGAAACTCTTGGTGGGATGGAAGCAGTGATCAAGGCGGGGGCTCCTGACGCAGGCCGGCTGCAGCCTCTTATCAGAGACAGGCAGGGAGGGCGGGGGCCAGGAGGGTGTGGCTGGGTGGGCAGCTTGGAGCAGGGATGTGGCCCTTTAGTCCCCCTCAGCTTCTCAGACACCCATAGTCCTTCCTGAGCCTCTAGAAGCTTCTCTGGACCAAGTGGAGGTAAGGGGTAGGCACAGCAGAGAGGCAGCCCAGAGGTGATGGGGGTAGGGTAAGAGTCTAGCTAGGTTTAGAGTCTCAGTATTCTCTTCCCCATTCAAAAGCTATAAGAGCTCTGGGTAGGTGGCAGGGGCCTGTCCTGGGCAGTTTTTCATGGAAGACAGACTTCTGCTGCTTAAAAAGAGTAATGCCATGGCTTTTCTGCCCATGTTTGAAGGGAAATAAGGCCTGGAAGGGAAGTGTGTGTGTGTGTGTGTGTGTGTGTGTGTGTGTGTGTGTGTGTGGTGGGGGGGAGGTGTTAGTTAAATTTGGGCCCCAGTAAAGGGGCTTTATGAAGACAGGAACAGCTGGGCACTGGTGGCTCACACCTATAATCCTAGCCACTAAAGAGGCTGAGGTCTGAGGACTGTGGTTCAAGGCCAGCCCAGGCAGGAAAATCTGTCAGACTCTTATCTCCAATGAACCACCAGAAAACTGGAAGTGGAGCTGTGGCTCAAAGTGGTAGAGCGCTGCCCTTGAGTGAAAAGCTCAGGGACAGCACCAGGGGCTGAGTTCAAGCCCCACAATCAACAACCACAAAACAAAACGGTGCCGGCCCTGGCCCTGCAAGCCTGAGCTGTGCTCAGCCTGTCACCTGGAATTGGGAGTCTGTGATTTAACTGTTACGCCTAGGGGGGTTCTCTCAGGGTCCTGGCCTTGATGTATGGGGGTAAACTGACATAGGTAAGAAAGCACATGGACTCAATAAACACTGTTTCTGTGTTGTTCTTGGGACACTGCACGCCTGGGCCTGTGAGTGCTGTGGGCACTCGGGACCCTGAGTGAGTGTGCGGGGCTCTGGCCTCTGAACTCTCCTGGCAATCCTTTTTTCTTGGTCATGGGGCCTGAACTCTGGGCCTGGGCGCTGTCCCTCAGCTCTTCAGTTCAAGGTGAGCGCTCTACCACTTGAGCCACAGCGCCACTTCCGGTTTTCTGGTGGTTTATTGGAGATAGGAGTCTTACGGTCTCTCCTGCCCAGGCTGGCGTTGAACCGCGATCCTCAGATCTCAGCCTCCTGAGTAGCTAGGATTACAGGCGTGAGCCACCAGCGCTGGCTCCTGATGGCCCCGGGCCGGGGTCGGGTCCGGTCCGGGGTCGGGTCGGGTCGGGTCGGGTCCGGGGCCGGGGTCGGGTCCGGGGCCGGGGTCGGGTCCGGGCCGGGGTCGGGTCGGGTCGGGGCCGGGGTCGGGGTCGGGTCGGGGCCGGGCCGGGCCGGGGTCGGGTCCGGGCCGGGGTCGGGGTCGGGTCCGGGGTCGGGTCGGGGTCGGGTCCGGGGTCGGGTCGGGGTCGGGTCCGGGGTCCGGGGTCGGGTCGGGTCCGGGGTCGGGGCCGGGGCCGGGGCCGGGTCCGGGGTCGGGTTGGGTCGGGGCCGGGTCCGGGGTCGGGTCGGGTCCGGGGCCGGGGTCGGGGTCGGGGCCGGGTCCGGGGTCCGGGGCCGGGGTCGGGGTCGGGGCCAGGTCCGGGGTCGGGTCCGGGGTCGGGGTCGGGTCGGGTCGGGTCCGGGCCGGGGTCGGGGTCCGGGGTCGGGTCGGGGCCGGGCCGGGGCCGGGGTCCGGGGTCGGGTCGGGTCCGGGGTCGGGTCGGGTCGGGGCCGGGCCGGGGTCGGGTCCGGGGTCGCGTCGGGTCGGGGCCGGGGTCGGGGTCGGGTCGGGGCCGGGTCCGGGTCCGGGGTCGGGTCGGGTCGGGTCCGGGGTCGGGTCGGGTCGGGTCGGGGCCGGGCCGGGGTCGGGGTCGGGGTCGGGTCCAGGGTCGGGTCGGGTCGGGTCGGGGCCGGGCCGGGCCGGGGTCGGGTCCGGGGTCGGGTCCGGGTCCGGGGTCGGGTCGGATCCGGGGTCGGGTCGGGTCGGATCCGGGGTCGGGTCGGGTCGGGGCCGGGCCGGGGTCGGGGTCGGGTCCGGGTCCGGGGTCGGGTCGGGTCGGGGCCGGGCCGGGCCGGGCCGGGGTCCGGGGTCGGGGTCGGGTCGGGTCGGGGTCGGGTCCGGGGTCGGGGTCGGGTCGGGGCCGGGTCCGGGGCCGGGGCCGGGGTCGGGGCCGGGGCCGGGGCCGGGGCCGGGGCCGCGGCGCGCGCGGAACCCTGGGGCGCGGCTCGAGCGCCGCACGGGCGCCTTTGGGCGCCGGACCGTCGCGCGGCAACGCGGGGCGAGCGGGCGGAAATGGGATTGGGGTCCGCGGCACCGGCGGAGGGGCCGAGGCCTCGAGCGCCGCCGTCCCGCCCGGTTCCCGCCACGCGGGGCGCGGCCCCGGGCAGCAGCCGGTGAGCGCCGGGGAGGGCGGGAGGCCGGGGAGCCCGGGCCGGGGGCGAGGCCTGGCCGCCCGGTCCCCGGAGCCGGGGCGCCCCGCGGGCGGGAGGAGCGGCGGCGGCGCCCCCCGCGCGCCCCTGACCCCCGCCGCCCCTGACCCCCGCCGCCCCTGACCCCCGCCGCCCCTGACCCCCGCCGCCCCTGACCCCCGCCGCCCCTGACCCCCGCCGCCCCTGACCCCCGCCGCCCCTGACCCCCGCCTGGGCGGAGCCCGAGAGGGCGGGGGGGAGGGAGGGAGGGAGGGCGGAGGGGAGGGAGGGAGGGCGGAGGGGAGGGAGGGGGGGAGGGGAGGGAGGGCGAGGGGAGGGGAGGGAGACAGACGGGAGGGCGGACAGGAGGGAGGGCGGGGGGGGGCGGATGTGTGGGAACCGGTGGCCGGCCAGCCTCGCTGGGCCCCGCCCGCCCGCCCGCCCGCCGTCCCCCCGCCCGCCCGCCGTCCCCCCCGCCGTCCCCCCGCCCGCCCGCCGTCCCCCCGCCCGCCCGCCCGCCGTCCCCCCGCCCGCCCGCCCGCCCGCCCGCCGTCCCCCCGCCCGCCCGCCCGCCGTCCCCCCGCCCGCCCGCCCGCCGTCCCCTCGCCCGCCGCCCGGCCCGAGGCGCCGGTGTTTCGGTTCCGCGGGGGCGGCCGGGCCTAGCGCGCCGGGCTTCAGTTCCTGGCTCCTTTTCTCCTCTTCTTCCGGCGCAGCGTTGCCCTGGCCCCTGCCCCTCTCGCCGGCCCGGCCGGGTTGCTCCGTCATCCGCCCAGGCTGCTGCCGGCCCGCGCCTCCGCTGCCATCGGCTGCCCGCGCCTGCACCCTTCCCAGGCTCCCCGAGCCGCGCCTGCACCCTTCCCAGGCTCCCCGAGCCGCGCCTGCACCCTTCCCAGGCTCCCCGAGCCGCGCAGCCGGCCGAGGCCCAGGTGAGCGCCAGGCTGGGAATTCGCCCCATCACCTGAGGATCAGAACGCCGACCTTTGCCCTCCACTCTCTTCCCTTATGGGGGAGGAACTTCTTGTGAAGTTGGCTTTTAAAGCAAAAGGTTGGCGGGCACATTGCATTGAATTCACCCAGGTGAACGTTCCAGGTGGCCACCCCAGTCTTCTGCGTACTGCTGGGCCAAGGGTGTTTCTCTTCCCCAGCCACAGCCCTCAGCTGTCTGGTGTTCCCCAGAAAGGGTCATGGTGGGTCTCTACTGTCGGGGCTGTCCTGACAGGCTGAGATGGAAAGGCTTGGTCTGGGCTGGCTGGGCTGGTCTCCTTTGGCCACAGTGGGCTCCTCTCAAGCAGAATTGCCAAACAGCTGTCATAACATCCTGATGCCCAGCGTCTGGCCTTCCGGAGGAGGAAGGGACAGGAAGAGAACTTGGCTTTTGGTGCTGCCTGGGGATTTGACTGGGGCTGGGGTCCAGCATGGGTTTCCCCGTGGGCATGTTCACTAGCTGCCTGCCCTGCTTAGTTATGGGGGGGAGGGGATGTTGGGAGTCCTAGAGGCGGCCTGTTCACGTTGAGCCCACTGCGCACCTACAGGAAGAAGGAAGCTCCACAGCTCCATGCCCGGGCAGGCCTGTCTCAGAATGGAAGGCAGCACTGGCCTGCCGAGGCACGTGGTGCTGCTGTGCTCGGTCTGGCTTGGGGGGCTGCCCGTGTGAGATGGAAGGCCATGGCCCACAGCCGCCACTAGGCAACCCACCCCGGAGGGCACGGACATGCCCTCTAGAGACCGTGTCCCCACCCGCGGCCCCGCTACTGCCATTCACACAGCAGCAGCAGCACTTCTCAGCCAGCTCTCTCCTTCCCTTCCAGGGCTCCCGGTATGATGCTCAAGGCCTTCTTCCCCACATGCTGTGCCTCAGCAGACAGTGGGCTGCTGGTGGGTCGGTGGGTTCCAGAACAAAGCAGTGCTGTGGTCCTGGCTGTGGTGCACTTTCCTTTCATCCCCATCCAGGTTAAGCGGCTCCTGGCACAGGTGCAGCAGGCCAGCCGGGTCGGTGTGACCGTGCTGGGCACCTGGTGTCACCACCAGCAAGAGCCTGAGGAAGGCCTGGGCCACTTCCTGGAGGGCCTGAGTGCCATCTTCACCCATGAGCCCTGGTTGCAGCTCTGTCGGGAGAAGGGCAGCAGGGCCTGGAGCTGCAGGGCCACGCACCATCAGGTGCCTGCCACCCCGGGCACCCCCAGCGAGGACCAGGTCATGCTCATTTTCTACGACCAGCGAAAGGTGCTGCTGTCCTGGCTGCATCCGCCTGCGGTGCTGCCTGATCAGCAGGCCGGAGATGCCACAGCCAGTGCTGGGGGTCTGGCTGCTGTCTTCGACACAGTGGCGCAGAGTGAGGTGCTCTTCTGCGGTGACCGGTACGATGAAGGGCCTGTGCGGCTGAGCCATTGGCAGTCAGAGGGTGTGGAAGGCAGCATCCTTGTGGAGTTGGCAAAGTGGGCCTCGGGGCCCCTCTGTCTGCTGCTGGCCTCTCTGCTCTCGCTGGTCTCTGCTGCCGGTACTTGCTGGTAGGTGCCCAGGGGCCCGGGCGGGGTACAGTAGAGAGCCAGGCCCCTGAGAACCTTAGGCTCACCTCCTACTGTGGCTGGAGGCCCATGGGGACCCTACCCAGGACCCTGGCCATCCTCCCACCCTGAGCATCCTTGAAGTACTGGGGATGGCCGTGGCTCTTGTGTCTTATTCCTGACTGGGTTAGATCCACTGTTTTCAGCAGCTTCTGGGTTGTATGAGGTCCACTGCCTAGGGGCACAGGTTGAACTACAGATGGCCCAAGTCCCCAAAATAACTTAGATATTGTTCCCAAATGATCGTTGGCTGCCCTGGCTAGGAATCGTCTGCCTTCTGAGGTCACAGGGAAGCGAAGCTGCCCACTTCCCCAGTGCCCTGACCGCTTGTCCCTGCAGGCCTCACTCCCTGCAGAAGATTGCTTCTCAGCCAGGCGTGGTGGCTCACGCCTGTCATCCCAGCTGCTCAGGAGGCTGAGATCTGAGCATCACAGTTCAGAGCCAGCCCCGCAGGAACGTCTGTGAGACTCTTATCTCCAGCTAACCACCAGAAAACAAGAAATAGTGCTGTGGCTCAAAGTGGTAGAGTGCTAGCCTTGAGCAAAAGAGCTCAGGGACAGTGCCCAGGTCCTGAGTTCAAGCCCTGTGGCTGACCCAAAAAAAAAAGAAAAAGAAAAAAGGCAAAGGGTTTGTGAAAGTCCTTGATGCATGGCAAGAGCGCAGCTGTTGGCTGGCTAGTGTCAGTGTCACTGGCTGGGTGGGCCCTCTGGGCTCTCGTGCCCCTTTTGTGCCGTCCGTAAGCAGTTCCAGGATGCAGTGGGGCCTTGGTCTGCGCTGGGCCAGTTTGCAGTCCTAGAGCACTGCACCGGTGGTAGGAGCAGTCTTTGTGGCTGGCAAGCATTAATTTTCCTCCAAAGCTCTAGGCATAGGTTCTGGCATGGGTTAGTTGAAGCGCTGCACTTTCGGAAGTCCCTAGTTCCCTCTGGATCCACAGGGCCCCTGGGCAGGGGTACGGGCTCCTGGCCGACCTTGCTGATCTCCACTCTCATCCATGTGAATGTGGCAGAGTTGCTACCAGCACCGTCTCCACCTCCCTTAGTGTGCAGACATCTGGAAGGGTCCCCATGTCTCCCTTGTCCATGAGAGATTGAGTCTTGATGGGGAGCCAGGCCAGCCCGGGGACCCTTACCAAGCCTCTGGGCTGCCATCTGGCAGGCAGAGCAAGTCCTGGGTGGGTGGGAGGTGACCTGATTCCCGCTCCAGACCGTCTTGGTGCTCAGTGCTGCCTGCCTGGTGGGCTGTGTGCTCCAGGTTTGTTGAGGCTAAGGGTGGCCATACCGGAGGGGCCCCTGGAGAACAGCCCAGCCCTCCCTGTGCTTGGCTGGGCCATGGGTCTTGTGCACTGCCTCTGTCCTGCTGGGTTAACTCTTCTTCCCTGTGAGGAAAGAGGGGTCTGCAGGGAGGAGGAGCTGGAGATGGAAAATGCAGTGTCGACCTTGTGCCCGCCCCCCAGGCTGTGGAGGCTGTGGCCCCTGCCTTTCATTGGGAGCAAACTCTACACCTGCGAGCAGCTCCGGCACAGACTGGAGCAACTCACGCTTGTTTTCAGCACTGAGAAGGCCCAGAGCCCCTCGGAGCTGATGAGGTATGGGCCTGCCCCCGGGGAGGAGGGGGGCGGAAGGGGGACGGCCACGCCCCAGCCCTTTCCCCTTGCCCACCCTCTCTGTTACCAGCGCACTGTGCCCCTCCTGCCACGCCTTCTGAGGTGGCCTACGTGTCCAGCTCTTGCTGACTGTCCTTTTAGGAAGGCCAACACGTTGATCTCTGTGCTCATGGATGTGATCCTTGGCCTCCTGTTGCTCTCTTGGCTCCACGGCAATAACCGAATTGGGCAGCTGGCTGATGCCCTCGTGCCTGCGGCTGATGTGAGTAGATGGAGGTGGGGAACCCCGGGCAGCAGCCCCTCAGAAGGCCAAAGCAGCTCTTCTCTGCCCTTATCCTAGAGATGGCCCAGAGAAAGTTCGGGGGTGGGCTGGGGGCTGGGAATGTGGTTTAGTGGTAGAATGTTAGCCTAGCACACATGAAGTACTGGGTTGGATTCCTCAGTACCATATAAACAGAAAGAGCTGGAAGTGGTGCTATGGCTCATGTTGTAGAGTGCTAGCCCTGAGCAAAAGAAGCTCAGGGACACTGCACAGGCCCTGAGTTCAAGCCCCAGGACTGCCTCCCCCCCCCCAAAAAAAAGGGAAAGTTCCTGGGGGACACAGACTTGTATTTCAACGCCAAGTATTCACCATGTCTTCCCAAAGATGGCCCCTGTGGCTAGGGTTGAAGATCTTCATTGCCTCCCTTTCTGGTGACCTCTCATCTCCACCAGCCTCAGGAGCCTCCCGGTGCCCAGAGGTGTCTGGAGGGCCCAGCTACTCCCGGGCTAAGTCCATACTTCCTACGCTGACAGCCAGCGGCACAAGCTTGTCTTCTGGGCCTGGCTTTCCCTTCATGGCCCGTGGTGCAACATATCAGGGCTGGGGGTGGGCCTTCCCTCCTCATCCACTCTGAGTCTTTAACCTCTCTCTTCCTTGGATCCCAAACCCTAACTCTACCATTAAGAGAGTGTCTTCCTGGGCAGGGTGTTCTCTTTGGACTTTTAGCTTTTTCTTCTTCTTTTTTCTTTATTTTATTTTCTGGCTTTTTGGTGGTTAGTTGGAGATAGGAGTCTGTCTCATTGACTCCTGCCAGGGCTGGCTTTGAACTGTGATCCTCAGATCTCAGCTTTCTGAGTAGCTAGGTTTATAGGCGTGAGCCACTGGTATTCAGCTACCTGAAGGCCTCTGTGAGCCTGTGTGGCCAGGCCAGGACTCTGGGCTTACCACGGGCTTTGGGAAAGCAGGGAGGAGGCTGTGGGAGGGGCTGAGAGCGTGGCTGTTTCTGTATTCTGCCGCGTGGCCAACTTTGTCTTAGACCTCTTTTTTACAGAATTGCTCAAAAATATAAATATTTAATTTCAAAATGAAGTTTTTCCCTGCGACCAAGCTTTTTTATCCTTTAAATATTAAATAAGCTCTATTTATAAAGAATGTTTTCTTCCCTCTCTTGCTGGCCCTGAGCGGGCTGAGGCTGTAGCAGGGGTTGGGATGGATAGGGTGGGGCACAGAGATGTTTCTGTGGCCTCACCTTCCTCACCCACCCCCATCACCACATGACCTGCACACGCACAACAGCTCTCCCCTGGGTGCCCAGAACTTCGCTGTGGGGGCCTTGTGCTGTCCAGGGGTGCTTGTTGTCCAGCATTCTCCTGCTGCCTGGGCCCTTGATGGGTCTGAAACCCCATGGGAAGGCCCCTGTCACTGCCCTGGCGCCCCAGGCCTCTGATGGTGGGCTGGGTCTTTGCCAGAAGACTGACACAGACTCACAGGTTCTCCTGCAGGCCTGAGGCGGGCCCTGTCCAGGCATCACCCAGGGTTTGAAGTGGTAAAATGGAGAAAGAGGAATACTGTAAGGTGGAGATGGCTGTCAGTGAGGAATGGCTGGGACAGGCCCCGGGGACCAGGGCAACTGTCAGCTGCTCAGGCTGTGAACGGCCTGCTGGGAGGATGGAGAGCTGGCTCTCAGCAGGTCTCTGTGAAGAGGGTGTCCCTGCAGACTCGTTTGAAATGCCCCGCACCCTGGAGGAAGGAAGTATTAACCGCCCTTGCCCTGCCCACGTCCCCTTCACCATGTTCTGCAGCATGTAGCCGAGGAGCTCCAGCATCTCCTGCAGTGGCTGATGGGAGCTCCGGCCGGGCTCAAGATGAACCGGGCCCTGGACCAGGTGCTAGGCCGCTTCTTCCTGTACCACATACACCTGTGGATCAGTGAGTGCCGACGTGGAGTGAGGGGCCCAGCCAGACCGCGTGGAGGGCAGGGAGGCTGGTCGGGCCGTCCCTTCTGCCCCACCCTCCCGGCCTCCGGTGTGTGAAGCCTGCCGGGCTGGGCACAGTCAGGCACTGTTTCCCAGGTCTCAGGGCTCTGTCCCCACTGAGCAACTCAGGGTGCCGGGCTTTTCCAGGGCGCCTCTCAGGGCTGACCTCGCCCTGCAGGCTACATCCACCTCATGTCCCCCTTCATTGAGCGCATCCTGTGGCACGTGGGCCTCTCGGCCTGCCTGGGGCTGACCGTCGCCCTGTCCATCCTGTCAGACATCGTTGCTCTCCTCACCTTCCACATCTACTGCTTCTACGTCTACGGTGCCAGGTGAGAGTGAAGGCTTCTGAGCCGGTGCGCCATGGCGGGAGGGCGGGTGGGTGAAGTTCAGGGCCCTGGCTGCCCTGCACCGTGCCTGCCTCCATCCTGCAGGCTCTACTGCCTGAAGATCTACGGCCTGTCCGCTCTCTGGCGTCTGTTCCGGGGGAAGAAGTGGAATGTTCTGCGCCAGCGTGTGGACTCCTGCTCCTATGACCTGGACCAGGTACCTGCAAGGCTCAAAGAGGGGTGCCACCCGGGGGCAGCCTACTCCGATTGCAGGGTTGCCCTGGGGGGGTGCCATCAGACCAACAGACTTTCCCCAGGTGGGTTCAAACTCTGCACCCCCTCGGCAGGGCCTGTGGCGGGGGCTTGTCCCATGCCTGTGACGGCCACTTTGTCTGGTACTGTGTGGTGTGCGGCCGTGCGCTCCGGCGGGTGCACGGTGCTGGTGGGCACCGCTCTGTGGCACTGCTCAGTGCCACCAGGCGTGGGCCACCCTGCGCTGCTTGGGAGGACTGGCAGTCCCAGCTGCAGTGACCTGACTGGCTGGGGGAGGGGCAGGAGCGTGCGGAGAGCCACAGGGGAGGGCCAGCCCAGCAGGTCTGCCGTCCCGTCTCCTCTGCAGCTCTTCATCGGGACTCTGCTCTTCACCATCCTCGTCTTCTTGCTGCCCACCACCGCCCTGTACTACCTGGTGTTCACGCTGGTGAGAGTCGGTGCTGCGCTCTCGCTGCAGGCTCCACCACGAGCGGGGCATCGGCAGACCGTCTGTGCTTTCCCTCGGGGCCATGGCTCTGGTGGGCCCTTTGGGGCTGAGGCAGATGAGGGTCCTACCTTCCCCTGCTGGGCTTGGGGCTGGGCGCAGGGGAGAGCGGCACCTGTGGTGGGTGCTGGCTGGGCTGTGCCTGGCACCCAGGTGGCCTGTCAGTGTGGCGTTGTGCAGCCCCTGTCCTGGTCCAGGGACTGACCTGCCCCTGGCTCCTTCCCTCCTGACTGCTAGTCCCACTTCATCCACACTTCGTCCTTGAGCCCCTGGGCCACCCTTTGGCCCAGGACCCTATTGGGCTGCTCTGCTCATGGACATGATCAGTTAGGCAGTTAGGCTCTGTGTGCAGCCCCGGCCCAGCGACCTGAATGTCACCTTCTGCAGCTCCGGCTCCTCGTGGTCACGGTGCAGGGCCTGATTCATCTGCTTGTGGACCTCATCAACTCGCTGCCTCTCTACTCTCTTGGCCTTCGGCTCTGCCGGCCCTACCGGCTGGCAGGTAAGTGCTGTGTGCTCTGTGGCTGGCCATTGGCAGTGAGGTACACACACCTGCACTGCCGCTTCTAGTACTTCAGGAAGGCAGGTCCTCCCAGTCCCCAGCTTCTGTCAAGACTGTCCCGGCCAGCTTCCAGCCAGCTGCCTCCTGGGAGGTCGGGCAGGAGGTCCCCTGAGGTCCACGTGTGGCTCTTGTTCTTTATTTTTTTTTGTCAGTCATGGGGCCTGAACTCTGGGCCTAGGCGCTGTCCCACAGCTCTCCAGTCAAGGCTAGCGCTCTACCACTGAGCCAACTTCCCAGCCCCCTTGCTCTTTAATTAATAAATTTATTTTTGGGTACTGTATCACTTGAGCCACATCTCCATCTCCCTTCTGGCTTTTTTGTGTGTGTGCTGGTCTTTGGGCATGAACTCAGGGCCTGGGTGCTGTTTCTGAGATTTTGTGTTCAAGGTTGGTGCTTTACCACTGGAGCCATGGCTTATCTTTGGGAATAAGAGTCTTACAGACTTTCCTGCCCAGGCAGATTTTGAACCTCGATCTTCAAATCTCAGCCTCCTGAGTAGCTAGGACTGTAGGTTTGAGCCATCAGCACCTGAGCCCTTCCAGCTTTTCGCTGGTTAAATGGGGATCTAAGTCTCTTGGATCTGTCTGCCTGGGCTGGTGTCAAACCTTGATCTCAGGCTCTCAGCCCCTGATCAGTCCCAGTGCATCACTCAGTGGCCAGTGGGTGCCCTGCCCTTGTCTTTTCTTTTCCGTGTGTTAAGTACCTGCTGGTCTGACTGTGGGCTGTGTCTGCCCCCAGCATTGAAGGGACAGGCTGTGTGAGGGGTGTGGCTGGCCACACCCTGTGTGATAGAAGCATCTTGCACAGGCCTCACTCAGTATTCAGCACCTGGCTTTCCCCGGATCCCCTGCTTCATGTTGCTTTCTGACACCAGCTGAGGGTTGGCCAGATACCTTGAAGGGAGCCTGTCCCTGCAAGGCTTGGGACTGTGGCTTGTCTCTTCTGACTTTGAACATATTCTGGGAGCCCACAGATTTCCTGAACTATCTAGGAGGTCCCAGTGAGCATCAAGTTCCAGCCTTTTTTTTTTTGGTCAGTTGTGGGGCTTGAACTCTGGGTCTGGGCGCTGTCTCTCAGCTCTTCAGCTCAAGGCAAGCGCTCTACTGCTTGAGCCACAGCGTCACTTCCAGGTTTCTAGTGGTTTTTATTGGAGATAAGAGTCTCATGGACTTTCCTGCTTGGGCTGGCTTTGAACTGTGATCCTCAGATCTCAGCCTCCTGAGTAGCTAGGATGACAGGGGTGAGCCACTGGTGCCCAGCTTTAGTTCCAACTTATTACTGGTTAATTCGAGTCTCACAAACTTCTCCTCAAGTTGGCTTTAAACTCTGACCTCAGAGTAGCTAGGATTACAGGTGTGGATCATCATTGCCCAGTCACTCCTGTTATTTTTTCCAGTCCTGGGCTTGAACTCATGGCTTAGGCACTGTCTATGAGCTTCTTTTGCTCAAGGTGAGCACTCTACCACTAGAACCACAGCATCACTTCCAGCTTTTTCTGTGAATGTGGTACTGAGGAATCCAACCCAGGGCTTCAGGCATGCTAGGCAAGTACCCTACCACTGAGCCACCTTCCCAGCCTGTTTAAGAACCTTCCACCTTGAGACTTCCTAAACTTGGAGCCCTAACTGCAAGCCTGTGTTGTCATAGGTCCCCAAGCTGATCAACACACTGAGTAGTCAGCAGGGCAGCTGCCATCCACGTGCTCTGTGTGCTGCTGGACAATCCACGTACTGTCAGCCTGCGGGCCTCCCCCTCCCCCCCCCCCCCCCGCCCCCCGCCCCGCATGCCCCTCAGCTCTCCCTCGCAGGACACTCTTCTGTCTTCTGTGCTTTTCTATAGAGGCAGATCAGGATGGGAAGCAGGCGAGGCCTGAGTGGCCAGACAGGCCTGTGTTCTCTAGGTGCCCCCCCCAGGTGCTGCTTGACAAGGCCTTTCCCATTAGAGTTCTCTGCCTACAGGAACCCACAGCACATGGCAGGACCTGTGGGCACTCTGTGGAGCACTGGGGATAGAGGCTGGCACCTACCACTTAAGCACCTTGTTCTCTTTGCAGCTGGAGTGAAGTTCCGAGTCCTGGAGCACAAGGCAGGCAGACCTCTCTGCCTCCTGATGCAGGTAAGGTCTCCCGTGCCCCTCACTGCTCTACCAGGCTTTGCCACCGTGTGGGACAGTTGGGGGTCAGCTGCTGTGGGGCCTGAGTGTTAGCATGCCAGCCCGGGGTTATGTGTCAGCAAAAAGGTCCAGCGGGATTGGGTTCCACGAGGTTAGCCAGCCACGGCTCAGTATCAGGACCCGCTGGCGGCCCATGTGTGCCCACCGTGGATAGGGGCTCTAGCTCTGAGTCAGAGACACACTGGGCTGCCCACCTGGTTCCATTCTCCGTCTCCTGTCCTGGGCCCCACAGGGCTCAAGGTCCAAAAGAAACGAACTTAGCGAAAGCCTGTGACTGTGCCGTTGTTTCCTGTCATCTAGACTGTCTTGGGTGCTTGGTCCCTGTGAGGGTGAGTGGGCAGGGTTGAGGCTAACTTAAGTTCCCTCCTGGGCAGACGCCTGCCCCAGCGTGGTGTCTCCCAGAGGCTTGGGCATTTGCAGTCTCTGCTGAGTGGATCCTGGGGTGGATGGATCTATCTAGCCCCAAAGTACCCTGACCACTCACCTGCTCACCACTGTCCTGTCCTTCCAGATAAACCCCCTGCCCTACAGTCGCGTGGCGCACACCTACCGCCTCCCCAGCTGTGGCTGCCCTCCCAAGCACTCCTGGGGCTCTCTGTGCCGCAAGCTGTTCTTTGGAGAGCTTATCTACCCCTGGAGGCAGAGAGGGGAAAAGCAGGACTGAGCGGCCCGTCTCCGCTCACGGCCGTCATCCCTCTGCTGGTGGCAGCCGTCACAGCCGCCATCCTTCTCTGCCAGATGGCACTGGTCTTGGGAACAGTGCGGACCCACACAGGGGCCAACCAGAATGGCCCTGTTCTCTGTGTGAGTGGGCCTTCTTCCCGAATCCCTGACCTGGCTCCTGGGCTTCTCCGAAGGCCCTGCCAGCCTGTGCTGACCCTCCTGTACCGCCTGCCTGGAGACCTGGCTTCTAGGAGGTCTGCCGTGGCACACACTCTTATCCCGGGGCCCAGCAGCCCCCAGCCCCTGCGTGACTGTCCCCCTGGCCCTGCGGTCACCGGCCAGACGGGCCCTGGGGCCTTCCAGATGCCTCCCTGGAATGCCTCCATCTGAGGGATTGAAGCAGTTGCTGACCCCCAGGCCTGGTGGACCAGACCTTCCCACCCCGAATCTTGCTGGGCTCGTTGGTGCTCCCCTGAGGTCGCTTTGTGGAGAGCTGCTGATAGACCAGTGGCTATCTTTTTGTGTGGAGCCAGGCCTTGTGAGGTAGCCCAGGCTACCTATTTGGAAACTGGATGCCTGCCCACCTGGCTGGCCCACCCTGCCCAGTCCCCCTGGGACAGGTCCTTTGGTAAGACCTTCCATCTCCTGTCACTGGCTTCCTGCTTCTGCAGCCCAGAGTATGAATTGCCCTGGGTGATCGTGGCTGGGCTACCTGCCCATCCATCGCCAGATCCCATGTGAGGAGAGGAGGCTGAGGGTGCAGTGCCAAGTGGTGTGGAAGTGTCCACGTAGGGGGAAGGGCAGTGCGTCCTGCTCATCCAGTAGGCCTCAGGATTGTCTTCTTCCCATACTCCTTTGCCACAGACCTCAGCAACTCAAAGCCCCTGGTCCAGCACTGGTGGGGATGGGTCTGGACCCTGACTTTTACCATGTTCACAATAAAACCTGCTATGAGCTTGGAGTGCCAGCTTGGCCTTTCCCATGGAGCATGCACTCTGGTCTGGGGAGGCCCATGGTACCTGGGCTGGGTGGGTATAGAGACCTCCTAGAGGACTAGGATGTGCTCTGGCTGGCAGACTGTGTCCTGTTTGTGGTCTACAGCAGGCCTTAGATCCTTGGTGTCCTGGCGCAGGTGGGTAAACCAGGGCTGCAGGGCCTCTGATCACAACTTCACCTGGCATAAGGGGCTGACTTCTGGGATAGGATATACCTTGGGGAAATAGGGTACTAACTGTTGCTGGCTCTGATGAGTATGCAGAATCTGCAGTGGGACAGGCAGTCCCTGGACTGGTAACCTCAGTATCCTGAAGCATCTAGGGGCTGCTGGAATTTCTGCCTCCAGTCCAGACTACGGAGGATTTGGACACTAGAGAGGCCCCTGAGCGCCATCTCGGTCTGGATTTCCAAGTGTCCATCAGACCTGCAGACTGCCCATGGGCTCCTCTCGCTGTGGTACTGGGGACGAGACCGTCCAGGTGGGCCCCACAAAGTCCAGAGGCCTCGGGTTGGAGCTTCCCAGCGGCCAGATGCGGAGGCCCAGTGGCACGTGGCTGCCACACATCCTGTTCACATCCTCTCCTGTGCCTGGCTGGACCCGCTTGGGCCGGCGGGCGTCTCCCCCCTGGCCGCGGGCCCGGCCCTCGCCGGAGAGCTCCCCGCGGCTGGACACCAGAGCGGCCCTCGGGTGCGGTGGGTCTCGTGGGTATGCGTCCTGCAATGGCCATTCCTGGCAGACAGTGTGGCCGCAGGGGAGGCGGGGCACACACCTCCGGCCTCGCTCGCTCGGGGAGCAGGCCCGGCCTCCCAGAGGGAAAGAGGGGAGGGCCCCCCCCCCGGCCCCCCGCGGGCGCGCGTCCCCTCCCCCCCTCCCCCCCGCGGGCGCGTGTCCCCGACCCCGACGCCCCCCCCCCGCGGGCGCGCGTCCCCGACCCCCATCCCCCCGCGGGCGCGCGTCCCCGACCCCCCTCCCCCCCGCGGGCGCGCGTCCCCAACCCCGATGCCCCCCTCGCGGGCGCGCGTCCCCGACCCCGGCCCTTCCCCCGCCGCGGGCGCGCGTCCCCGACCCCTCCCCCGCCGCGGGCGCGCGTCCCCGACCCCGGCCCTTCCCCCGCCGCGGGCGCGCGTCCCCGACCCCGGCCCTTCCCCCGCCGCGGGCGCGCGTCCCCGACCCCGACGCCCCTTCCCCCGCCGCGGGCGCGCGTCCCCGACCCCCCTCCCCCCCCCCCGCGGGCGCGCGTCCCCGACCCCCCTCCCCCCCCCGCGGGCGCGCGTCCCCGACCCCGGCCCTTCCCCCGCCGCGGGCGCGCGTCCCCGACCCCGGCCCTTCCCCCGCCGCGGGCGCGCGTCCCCGACCCCCCTCCCCCCCCCCCCGCGGGCGCGCGTCCCCGACCCCGGCCCTTCCCCCGCCGCGGGCGCGCGTCCCCGACCCCGGCCCTTCCCCCGCCGCGGGCACGCGTCGGGGCGGGACTAGGCTGCCGTCGGCCGCGCCCAGCAGGCGGAAGGCCCGCCTTCCGGGCCGCTCAGGAGAAAGCCCCGCCTCCGGCCCGCCACACCCCCGGGGAAGCGCGCCCCCGACGGACGGCCGTTTCGCCTCGCCACTCCTCCGGGTCTCCGCGGGAACAGCCGGCTCAGCTTGCTGGAGTCCCGGCCCTGGTGGACCCGCCCGCCAAGAGCGGCGCCGCCGCCGCCCCGCCGCTGGTACGCGGCCGGCACAAGTGCCAGCAGCCTAGAGCTTCCTGATTGGCCAGAGCACTAGGAAGGGGGCGGGGACTGCCTGGTGGGCCAGGGGGCGGGGCTACGGTAGCTCGGGCGCTCTGATAGACATGTAGAGCAACCAATGGTTGCAGGAAGATGGGGGCAGGAGGCCGGGGGCTACGTCGGTGAGGTGGGCACGTCCGTAGTGTTCGTAACGCTGAGTTAAACCGGCGTGTGTGTGTGTGTGGGTGGGTGGCACGTATTTGACGGGCGGACGAACGGGCTAACAGCCGTGGGAAACGGAGCGGAGGCCGGCCAATAGGCACGGCCCGAGGCAGGGTGGTCACGGGGCGGAGCCACTCGAGGCTCCGCGGCGCCGAGTGTGTGTGGGAAACGCCGGGGCGGGGCAGCCGCGACAGCCAGGCGGCCGGGCCAATGGCCGGTGGAGGGTCGGCTGCCGGCGGCCAATGACCGCGCCGCGTGCGGGGCGGGGGGCGGGGCCGCGCGGCGCCAGCGGGCGGGCGGGGGCGGGCGGCGCGGCCGCGGGGAGGCGAGGCGGGCGGTGACGGGGCGGCCGCGCGGGCGCGGTGGGGGCGGCGGCCCGTGGACGGCGCCCGTGGACGCGGCCCGGTGTCGGGCCCCTGGCACTGCGCTCCGGCCTCGGTCCGCGGGCCGCAGGGCGGCGGGCGGGAGGATGGGCACCCAGGGCAGCCCGGTGAAGAGCTACGACTACCTGCTCAAGTTCCTGCTGGTGGGCGACAGCGACGTGGGCAAGGGCGAGATCCTGGAGAGCCTGCAGGACGGCGCGGCCGAGTCCCCGTACGCCTACAGCAACGGTAGGCCGGGCGGCGCGGGGCGCGGCGCGCGGCGGGCCCGGCCCGGGCGGCCTCCGGGCCCGGCCTGCGCCGGCGGCGGCCCGGCTCGCGGCGCCCGGCGGCCCCGGGAGAAAACACCCCGTCGCGACGTTGTTTTTCTTCTCGACTTCCGGGTGCACGGCCGAAAGGCGCCGGGGCTCGCGCGGCCGCCCGCGATGGCGGGCGGGGGCTGTCGCGCGGGGAGCAGCGCGGGGTTCGGGTCCCCGGCGCCTCCCCGGCCGGTCCCGGCCCCCCGCTCCGGCTTCCGGACGGACCTGTCAAGCGCCTGCTGGCCGGGCCCGGCGCTGGGAGCTCGGGCGGGCCGGCGGCGCCGGGCTGGGCTCCGGGGCGGCCGGGGCTGGGCGGGAGGCGCGCCCCGGCGCCGCCGAGGCCCGGGCCCGGCTGCCCGCTCGGCCCGCGCACGCACGGCCGGCCCCGCGGCCGCTCTCGCCCTTCCAGGGCCCTCCCACCCTTCCTGGCCGGAGGCCCGGCCGGGCCGAGCGCAGGTGTGCCGAGGGCCGGCGGCCCGGCGGGCGGAGCGCTCTCCACGGGGCCCGGGTGTAGGTCTGAGAACGCCGGGAACGGGCTGGATCCTCCACTCCAGCACCGTGAGTGCCGCCCTTCCCCTCCCGCCGCCTCCGGACACGCTCCCCTCTCTCCCTTCTCGCCTCTCTCCTCTCCTTTTTTTCTGGTGACCGTGCTGGGGCTTGAACTCAGGGCCTGGATGCTCTTCCGGCTTTTTTCAGTCAAGGCTGGTGCTTTACCACTTGAGCCACAGCTCCACTTCTGGTGGCTTTTGCGTGGCCAATAGGAGGTAAGAGCCTCATGGACATTCTTGCCTGGACTGACTTCATTTGATCCTTGATCCTCAGGTCCCAATCCTAAGTAGATGGGATTGCAGGCATGAACCATCAGCTTGTTCGCTTATAAAGATGAGTTGAATATTTCTCTCTCTCGTTAATAAATCCCTCAGCATATGTGTTTACAGTTTTTTGTTTTCAGCCACAACCTGTAGGGCTTAACACATACAGGAAGGTCCCCACGTAGTGAGGGCCCCATTGCTCGAATGGCCCAGACTTTCCTGATCATAGCTGGGTTATTTATCTGCCTTAAAGCCTTGTCTAGCTTGTCTAGGTGTGTGAGTAACTTCACTGTCCACAATTTCACAAACGTGTGAGTCATCCACACTGCCTTTATGTTATTGTATTAGCACTGGAATCTGAAGCACTGGCAATGTGATGCTTGTGACCAAAGGCCCAACATCTGTGGGAACCTCTCCTGTCTGGAGATCCTGATGTGCACCAAGGCTTCAGATCTCTGTAGGCTTGGAAACCTTCCTCCAGGGAATTGGCTTATACAGCAGCAGTACTTTCAGGGATACGATCTACTCTTTCTGAGACAGGACACTTTGTGTGAAACTCCCACCTGGGTGTCCAGAGGGCTATGCTAGAGCAAATCCATCATGGATTCCTCATTCTAGAGCTGGCAGAGTCACATGCATGAAGCCCTGGGTTCGATTCCTCAGTACCACATACACAGAAAAAGCTGGAAGTGATGCTGTGGTTCAAGTGGTAGAGCGCTAGCCTTGAGCAAAAGAAGCTCCGGACAGCGCCCAGACCCTGAGTTCAAGTCCCACAATTGGCAAAAAAACCTGGCAGAAGAGGACACAAGTGTCCTGGGAAGGGTTTCTACTCATAAGCACTGCTGGTGGATCTGGCTCTGTGTTGTGGCCCTAGGGTAGTGGGTCTGTGTCAGCCCCACAGCAGAGTGCTGAGTGCTTGTTCTGGAGCCCAGGGACCATCTCTACTACAGCACACAGGCCTTGTTTCCCTTTATACTGTGGGCACTGAAGGACTTTTTTTTTTTTTTTTTTTTGGCAGTCTTGGGGCTTGAACTCTGGGCCTGGGCACTGTCCCTGAGCAATTCAGCTCAAGGCTAGCACTCTACCATTTGAGCTACAGCGCCACTTCTGGACATTTTTTTTTTTTTGTGGGTCGTGGGGCTTGAACTCTGGGCCTGGGTGCTGTCCCTGCGCTCTTCAGCTCAAGGCAAGCGCTCTACTGCTTGAGCCACAATGCCACTTCCGGTTTTGTAGTGGTTTATTGGAGATAAGAGTCTCACGGATGTTCCTGCCCCGGCTGGCTTTGAACCGCGATCCTCAGATCTCAGCCTCCTGAGTAGCTAGGATTACAGACGTTGAGCCACTGGTGCCTGGCACCGAGTGACTTCTTACCTCCACAGACAAAAGTCTGTCATAGTTTCTATGCCCATCACCTGTAAGATTCACATCCTTAATGAGTTGAGTCCATGCATATTGCTTCATTTCTTTCTGTGTTCCTTTGGGAATCAGTGTTATAGAAACTGCTGAGTGACATCTCTGTCCTTTGAGCCCAGGGATTTTGAAGGGAGGTACATGCTTGTGGACAAAACAGAACAGAGGTGGAGCTTGGCCATGAGTGTAATAGTTACGGAGATGTCTGTGAGACCATATGATGTTGCCCCCCAAGAGTGTGAGGCTACTGTGTATCTGTTCCTGGCATACTGTGTACCCCTTGGTGAAATCAGAGCTAGGGTGTCATATTAGTGACTCAAAAGCCAGCCAGAGTGTGTACCCTCCACCCACTAGCTCCCTGCGTTTCTGCTCATCTGACTCAAATTCGTTTCTCTCCCAGATGGTAGATTCAAGGAGAACGGTGATTCATTCCTCTGCGTTATATTTTCCTGTAACATGTATGTTCCATGTACGTCTCAATCATTTTGTGAGTTTACACACAGGAAACAACTAAGTGTAATTTTTTTTAAAGTTACTAGGGTTTGAACTTAGGGTCTAACACTTGGCAGGCAGGCTCTTTGCCAGTTGAGTCACGTAGCCCTGTTTGCTTTTTGCCTGGGTCAGCCTGGACCATCTTCTATATATACTTTCTGTGTAGCAGAGATGATAGGCTTACATTACTGTGCCCAGCTTTGTGTGTGTGTGTATGTGTGTGTGTGTGTGTGCATGTGCGCACATGTATATGTGTATGTATATGTGCTGGTCCTGGAGCTTGAACTCAGGGCCTGAGTGCTGTCCCTGAGCAGCAGGCTAGCACTCTCCCCTTTTTTTTTTTAAGTGTTTTTTTTTGGGTCAGGTCGTGGGGCCTGAACTCTGGGCCTGGGCGCTGTCCCTCAGTTCTTCAGCTCAAGGCTAGCACTCTACCACTTGAGCCACAGCGCCACCTTCGGCTTTTTTCTTTTTGCTTATGTGGGGCTGAGGAATTGAACCCAGGGCCTCATGCATGCAAGGCAAGTGCTCTACCACTGAGCCACCTTCCCAGCCCTTTTTAAAAAGTGTTTATTGAAGATAAAAGAAGTGAGTCCTGGAGTAGGCAGGAGTTAGCAAGGCCAGCAGTGTGTGTGTGTGTGTGTGTGTGTGTGTGTGTGTGTGTGTGTGTGTGTGTGTGTGTGTGTGTGTGTGTGTGTGTGTGTGTGTGTGTGTGTGTGTGCGCGCGCGTGCTGGTACCAGGGCTTGAACTCATAGCCTTGCACTCATTTAGCTTTTTCACTAATAGCCAGCATTGCCACATGAGCCATACTTCCAGTCCAGAAATTTTCTGATTTATTGGAAATAGTCTCTTGGGGTTTCCTTTTTTTTTCTCGGTCATGAGGCTTGAACTCTGGGCCTGGGCGCGGTTCCTCAGCTCTTCAGCTCAAGGTGAGTGCTCTACCACTTGAGTCGTAGCACCACTTCTGGTTTTCTGGTAGTTAATTGGAGATGAGAGTCTCACAGACTTTCCCGCCTGGGCTGAACCATGATCCTCAGATCTCAGCCTCCTGAGTAGCTAGGATGACAGGCGTGAGCCACCAGCGCCCGGCTTCTCTTGGGCTTTTCTTTAACTATATATATATTTTTTTGTTTTTTCTTTTTGGTACTGGGGATCAAACCCAGGACGTTGCACTTGCTAGGCAAGCGCTTTGCCACTGAGCTACATCCCAGCCCTCTCTTGGGCTTTTCTAAACCTGGGCTTGTTTCAAACTTCAGTCCTCACATCTTAGCCTCCTGTATAGCTATAATTATAGGCCATGAGCCATTATTGGCTGGTGTGGCCAGCAGTTCATAAACATGGGAGCTGTTAGAGATCACTGAGGTACTAGATCCTCTCTAGCTGGGAGGGCCACTTGTCACCCTGTTGTAGTAGAGGGTGACTTGTATGAGGGGATTGGGAGAGGCCACCCTGGTTAGTCACAAGCAGTATTGTTCCGGACTGATGGAGGTAGGGTTTTGAGTTGTTTTTCCGGGATAGTAGGAATTGAACTCAGAGGCTGCTGCTTCCTAGGCAAGCATTATACCAACTGGGCCACACCTCCAGCCTCTTTTTGCATTGGTTCTTTCTTTTCTTTTCTTGGTTGGTCATAGCACCTGAACTCTGGGCCTGGGCGCTGTCCCTCAGGTCTTCAGCTCAAGGCTGGTGCTCTACCACTTGAGCCACAGCGCCACATCTGGCTTTTTCTGTTTTATGTGGTTCTGAGGAATCGAACCCAGGGCCTCATGCATGCGAAGCAAGCATTCTACCACTGAGCCACCTTCCTAGCCTTGCATTGGTTATTTTGCATAGGCTGAACTGAGCTGCAGTCTTTCTACTTGTGTTTCTTTGTGTCACTGGGGATGAAAGATTTGTGTTACTCCACCCAGTCAGGATTACAGATTTGAGCAAGTTTTTTTTTTTTTTGGTCAGTTGTGGGGTGTGAACTCTGGGCTTGGGCGCTCTCTCTGAGCTCAAGGAGAGCACTCTACCACTTGAGCCACAGCACTACTTCTGGTTTTCTGGTAGTTAGTTGGAGATTAGAGTCTCATGGACTTTCTTGCCTTGGCTGGCTTTGAACCTTGATCCTCAGATCTCAGCTTCCTGAGTAGCTAGGATTAAAGGGGTGAGCCACCAGCGCCCTGCTCTTGAGCTAGCATTCTTATTCTTTTGTGTGTATTTGTTGGTATTGGGGCTTGTACT